TTGAGAAATATTAGAATACAATTTCTGCAAATCTTCTCTAATTCACAAACATAGTTTAATGTATATAAAATATAACAATAATAATATATTATATATACAAAAAGAATATAGCCCATTTGTCCTTTTTGGCAACTTCAGTTTTCTATTAAATTCCAAAAGCCAATTAGATTTCTTTTTAAAAATCCATTTGAAATGAAAGAATATTAATTTCCGCAATTCCCAAGGCAAACAAAACTCAACTTATTAGCTTTTGAAATTTATATTAATTTATTTTTCTTTTTTTTTTGCCAATTAGATTGCGCTAAGCCAACGATTTTTTGCCAATCAGTGTAGCAGGTGAGCCACGTAACACACACACACGAGCACACTCACACACGCACGCATAGACAAGCATCAATCAATCATACGCCGCCTGCACCGTTGCCATATCAAAAATGTCTTCATGATATTGTCGCTCAATAATCACATCTACCGCAGAAACCGCCAAAAAAAAAGGAAGGAAACCATGGAAAATTTCCACACACTCGCACTCAGAGTGCGTGTGGGTGGCACGTTTCAATGCGCCTTTGAAATGCAAATAAGTGTGTGTAAAGCGAATTTCGTACACAGGTCGCAAATCAAAGTGCACACCTACCTGTTCGTCTCAAACAGCTGCGCGTGCGAGCAGCTGGTTTTACTTTCTTCTTGGCCTTCAGGCGGCCTGTTTAGCAGTTGTAATTGTTGTTGCTGTTTTTCTCGCTTGTTGCTTCTTCAATATTTGTGACACATAAACAAACACTTTTTATTTAACTGAAATTCCGCAAATTTGTTTGAGGTGGCATGAAAAATGAATCAAGCAAACGCCATATATTTAAAAAAAATGTATCAAAATATGAAAAGCGAAAAGCGTGTGAGCAAAGAGAAGAGATAACATTTTAGTTGATAGAAAGCTCGTACAGTAAAAGCACGCTTGAGTGCACCACAGTGCTTAGTGAACAAAATATGCGACAATATTTTACAAATTGAATATTGATAAATGAAAAAATACTAGAAGAGAATAGCTTTAAGTACTAAAATTAATAAGCAAATAAAAAAAATTAAATAAAATATATTAATTTTTAAACTTTTAGGATAGTCAGAAAATAAATACTTTAAACAATTATTACTGAAATAAAATAATTAAAATAAATATAATATAAAAATAAAAAAAAAATAAGTAATAAGTAATTTTTATTTTTTTAACTTAAATATTTAAAGTTTCGTTTTAATTTTTTTTTATCATTTTTGTATAGGTTTAATAAATTTCAAGCATATTTTTTATATATAATTATTTAAAATCATAAAAAAAAGAAATAAAAATGAAGACATATTTTTAAATATTGCAATACCAAAATTACTTAAAGCTGAAAGCTTTTTTTACTTTAATTTTATTTTAATAAAATATTGTAAAAAGATTTTTGTAATTTTAAAAATGATCATAATTTGTGCATTAAAATTGGCATAAAAAATAAATGAACAAAATATTTTTCAGTTTCAAATCAGTTAAGGCTTTAATAGCTGTGCGTTAGACGAGCTTTCACTGTACAGTTATGTGTGCCTATGTCTGTCTGTCTGCCTGTCAAACCTGTAACTGTAACTGATTTAAATTACAGTGACAACTGCCACATGTGTGACATTTTCAACACGCACAGACAAATATATGTATATATGGAAATATATTTATATATTTAAAAACATGTGTTTGGTTAGCTGTGCGTGGCTACATATGTTAATTTTTGGCTTAAGTTCTGATTCGTTTTTCATGTTTTGGACACATTTTTTGTTTTGATTCGCTTAAGTGATTTTACAATATGTAGACGCGCACGATTTGAATATATTTTTTGTATTTTTGATTTATGATTTCAACACTTCGGTAAGTAAAATGAAAATGCTAAAGGAACAATTTGTGATTTACGTTTGATTTGATTTAAAGCCTTGGGGCATAAATAATTTATTTTTGATTATCTTCTGAATTTTCTGATTTATTTATTTTCACTTTTCACATGGCTTTAAGAATTTGTTGGCAACATTGTTGCCAGCAACACAAATTTTTGGCTTGCACTTGAACTAGTTGCCCAGTTTTCGTCTGCCTTGCCTTCTGCACTTTCCCTGCTTCTCACTCACTGTCGCTGTCTCTCTCTCTCTCTCTCTTTGTCTCTGTCTCTGTCTATGTGTATGTCCACTGATAACGTTTTGAGACTTGAGTATTTGCAATTTGGTTATGCGCGTTGGTCCGCTACCTCTGATTTGCCACGTCCGCTTTTCGAAGACACTCAACAGCAACTGTTGCAAATATCGAAAAGGCAACTTGTGGCTGCTGGCTGCTGCTGCTGCGTTGCAGCATCTTAAACGAAAGAGCTTTGCCAAAAGCTTTTGCGTTAAGCACAAAGCAAACTGTTGAATTCAAGAGAGAGCGAGAGAGCAGCTAAAGCAGAGAGTGAAAGCAGCTGTAAGAGCAAGTCTAAGAGAGCGCGATTAATATTTTCCTGTTTGGCTTGCAGTTAATTTGCTTTTAATAATTTGTTATTCGACTAGCCTCTATTTGCAGTTGTTTCCAAGCTTCAACACTACTAATTAAAAGCTTTTCAACTAATTATCAAGTAATTATTTATTTAGCAGGCAGGCTAAGGGGTATTTAAATGACTAAAGCATACGCCTTTTATTAGCCTCCATGCAAAATTACCTAGAATGCAACGTGGGTGTTGTAAAGTGTCAGAAGAAATATTTTAAAAAATTGTAATAAATTTTAAAAAAAAAATTTATTTTTTTATAAAATAAATATTTTTATAAACATGTTTAAAATAAATATTAAATCAAATATATTACTAAGCAAATTAATTAACAACTATTAGGTGTTACACGACGTAATCTAAATACAGAAATTTGTTTAAGATTTGCTTAAATTAGGTGTGGTTGAGAACTGTCTCGAAAATGTAAATATAAAATGTAAAATATAATTTCCTTTTAAATATTAGAAAATAAGTAAGAAAGTAAATAATTTTAAGTTTAAATATAATTAAAGATTAACAAAAACAATAAAAAAAATAAGTAAAAAAATAAATTTAAATATTAGAAAATAAGAATAAGCGTAAATTAATATATATATAAATATATTTCATAAAAAAATATTATAAATTTTATATAAAAAAATATTATAAATTTTATATAAAAAATATTTCTAAATTAATATATAATTATATCAATGTAAATTAATATAAAAAGTTAAGAAAATACATACAAACATATATTACGCATAAAAATACAAATTAACGGTATATAAGAACTATTGCCGTGAGAATTGCTTAATACAGCAGCTGCTATTCAACTGAGCTTTCATTGGAACTAATAACAACATTAATGTAGTCTTAACGCAAACACATACGCACCTGTTAGCATGTGTGCGTGTGCGTGTGCGTGTTTATGTCAAGTTTACTTAAGCGACACTTCGTCTGTCTTAAGGAAATCACACCCCACACACGCACGCACACAGGGTGACAATGTTGTGGCAGCTGTAGCAGCTCTAAAAGCTTTGTTTATTTTTGGCCAAGCAAACGGCCACGTGTTACAGTCAGCGCCTCGCACCTGAGCAGCAGGCGAAGTATGAGCTACAGGTGCAGCCGCACAAGCAGGTATGATGTCCGTGCAGCCAAAGGCCGCACGTTTGGCAAATTTGCGAAACGGAAGGATGCGCGCCTTTGCTTAATTAATAGAGTAAAGGCAATAAAATGCTGCCGCACAACCTCTCTCCGTCTCTATCTCGCGCTCTCGCTCCCTTTCCTCTCATTTTGGTCACACCTTTAGCGAAAGGATATCAAAACTTAATTATGAGCATTAAAATTAACCGTTAAACTACGCTCAAAATATGCGAAGGTTAAATGAAAAAACCGTAAGCTCAGAATTGCCGCCATTTTTTTCAAAATGGCGCCTCCCTCTTTGCATGGGTGTGTGCTACTCAGCGGCCTGTTTTCGACTGTCCGTTCATTGACTTTTTAATTGGCTAATTATAATCGATGCTCACTCAGCGTTTCCCATTTCCATCGAATGCTTGGCGCACTCTTTGCTAAATTTAGTCGCGCTTTCTTTTCAAGGTCTTTCATTGTTTTGCCTGTTGCTTGGCTAAGCTATAATTAATATGCTATTGATTTAGATTTGATTTGGCTTCGCGTTAAGCTGCTTGTCACAGACAGAAGCACGTGCAACAGCGACAATGCGACCTTCATTATGCATTACTATATTTAATTACAATAGGATTTTAAATATCTTCGATTTGTAAAGTGGCGACGAATGAAATTCAAAAGATGAAACAAATAAAAGCTTACCTAGACTTACAGCCATTACATTAAAGAAAATGAACAATTACTGACACTTTCTACTCACATAAACCAATTGAGAACGGATCGCTATTCACCTAGACACTACATCTATCAGAAAACCCACTTGAACTTCGCAACAAACGAAGGCTGGATTTATAACTGCACTTATTAGAGTTGGCACAAGTGTTGCAAAGTCAATACACAACTAAAGCATCAGTCTTGGTCATCGATAAAAACGATCAGTTCCATACCGATATGTCTTTTCATACAGCTTAAATATTAACCAATCTTCTTTATGTGGCTCCATCTAGCGTTTGGTAGCGTAAACGGTGTCGATTATACAGCTTATATATCTGCAGCCATCCAAGTAACACTATTATCAAAGACACAAACCAGTTGCTCTGTTACATTTTACATTATTTTATGTACCAAAACAAAGGTGTTGCTGCAAACAACATATATAATAGCATCATACGTAGTCTACATAATACCAAATTTTTACATAATACAGCAGTGCAAAAAAGTTCCAACATACTTTTCGCTTAGTGTGGAGTAACTATGTTAGTTGAGGAGCACTTCTTATATGCAAATGCGCTAAATGATATCGATAATGGCAGATAAGAGCTACCCCCGATAATATCATTGGCATTGGCGATAGTTGTGCAGCTCTAAAATTCTTATCGCACATCCCTGGCGCTTTATACTGGTTGCTTTTTTGTTGGTTGTTGTTGTTGTTGGTTGGAAAATACAATTAAAAATTGATTTCAATATTTAAATATTCAAAGTATCAAGGTAAGTGCGAATAGCGGCACATTGTGTATCCAAAAAACGAGCAAAATACGGAAAAGCTGTCGAAAAACGTGTCAAAGAGCCGTTTGAAAATAGCGCGTCACAAGTGTGTGTGTGCGTGTATCTGTTTGTGTGTGTAAAAATGCGCTAACGTACGATTAAAGTACACACATGAGCAACTGTTAACGCATTTTTCCAGCCAATATATAGAGTAACTAATTTTCTTGTACATTTTCTAGACAACAACAACGCGGCGGGTGGCGGCGTCAAAAATACCGAGGAAGCACAAAAAGAAAAATTTGCAAGGTGTTTGTGAGTGCGCGAGTGTGTGCGTAAGTGTGTGTTTGTGTGTATGTGTGTGTGTGTGTGACAACGACGAGCAACGACTTTGCTGCTCTGCCGCTGCTTCTGGTGCGTGCGCGCTGTCGCAAGGGACCAACACACATTCAAGTAAATTGCCATTGTATTAGTGTATCCTTTGGCATTTCTGCGAGCTTGGTTGGAAGTGCGAGAGAAAATTCACTTTTACCAAATCATAAACAAGTGCAGCTGAAATCGTTTTAGAAAAAAATCAAAAACCACACCAAATAAAATGGAGAAAAGAATAGAATTGGAGAGACGCGCACGCAAAGCGAATCAGGTAAGTTTTTTACCATGCAATTTATTAAATGTGAACGGAAAGAATCAAAGTGAAAAACAAATACACGCCAAAAAACGCGCAAAATTAAATAATTTTTTTGCTGTGATTACACAAACTGTAATGTGTGAGTATGTGTGTGTGCAACAATAACTACGCCATCATGTAAATCTAGTTTCAATTTGTGTCGCTGTCCGACGCCATAAAAAAAGAGCGCAAAGCACTACACGAAGAAGAAGAAGCGGCAAATAACATCCATCGGTGGAAAAAAAATTGATCGCCATAAGCAAATTCACACATACAGCTACATGTACAATGTACATTCGCCATGTGTGTGTGTGTGTCGCGAGCAGTGTTGCCATGTGCGCGTATTTTTGCGCCTGTGCTTTTCTCAATTTGACAAAATGCAGCAAAAGTTCTTATTATTACATTTAATCACATATTTAAAGGGTAATATTTGTTTAATAAGACGTAAACTCGATTTTCAATTTGTCTTATGCGTTTGGTTATGCGCACTGATCGCGATACGCACAAAGCAGAAGTTGCGCCAGCTGGCAATGCTTCTAAAATCTGTTGTTGTTGTTGCTGCCTTTGCCGGCCTTCAATTGTGACAAACACTGCAATAAAAACATATGTATGTGTGTGCGTATGTTGGTGTGTGTATGTATGTGTTTGTATGCCATGCTTGTAATTTCAGGTTATTTGATACCAAAATGTATCTATAACAACATTATAGCGCGCGCATCATTCATATATACGCAAGAACCGCATACACATACACACACATCTATGCATATACAGGCTAACAAGAAACGTGTATGCACATAATAATCGACACATTCTCGCCAATGCCGATGGGTCGCCAGCTTTAGCTATAGCTGCTGCTGAGACGTGCATACACACACTCAAACAGGCATATTGACTGCGCAGTCATAAATACCCTCGCACACATACACAGAGACACACATCTGCTGTCGCAGGCTAGACTTTTCACAATGCAAAAAACCGGCCGCCCCAAACGAAACGGTACATGCACTGTTTACATGCACTTCCCTCTCTTCGCATATATGTATACATATGTATCTCTTTCGCTCGACATAAGAAATGCGAACAAGACCAGAGCAGAGCAGACAAACCTGTCTATTTTTTTTTTGTGTGTGGCACTTTTGCTGATTAATAAACATGCGCTCTGGCAAGGCCTACTCAATCAGGCACCCACATCCCACCCCGCCCAACCAAAATGCACACACAGAGGCCCAACTACACATACACCATGACAACGCATACACACGTACACGTGCGGACACACATATTCAAAGCTAAGCTAATATGCACACGCTCCAAAGCTTAAGCTGCGTGCGGTTGTATGTGTGTGAGCACTCATTTAACTACATCGGTATTTGTGTGCATGTAACTGTCCAGCAAAACAGATGAGACGCGCTGCTGCTCACTACGTAAAATGTCGCCAGCCATTGTTGCCACTGCAAACAGTAAATCTATATACTGGACTGCTCTAATTGGTCTAATCGGAAAATCATCAAGCAGCTAGAATCTAGAAGCTATCGCTTCTAGATGTAAATGGAAATTCAATGATTAGAAGACTCAAGTAAAAGTATTTGTCCGCTTCTCTTGCTCTTAGGCGCAACAACTACCAAAGAGTCCGTTTGTCAACATAGATTATGTTATTGTTATTGGGGCTGGTGCGATTGCCGGCTTGTTTCATTCCGCAAATCGGAGGACTTGTGTGCTGTTTTCCTTTCCATCCCCATCCCCGACCAACTCCCTTAAGTTCATCATAACATTTCATTTCGTTTCAGTTTTGTTTGTAGCACGCGCGCGTATTGCGCTGCCATTTTATCAGCACTTGCTCTTTGCGCTGCTCTTTCAATACCCATTTTCGCGCATTCCGTTTTGTGGCGCGTACGTCAACGTACACGCACACACATACACAACGGCTGGCAAAAAAAATGCTGTTACATAAACGCGTAGCCACTTTTTCAGCTTGAGCTGCAGCTGGGTGCGCAATATGTTAAAAATCATTGTTGTCTCAGCACAATAAATTGTTTTTCTTTTTACCATAGTTATTATTTTTTTGATGAGCCATTTTATGTGTGAGTTTTCATTGCAATCAAAAAAAATGTTTTGCGTTTGATCGATTTTTTGCGTATGTATTGTTTTTCATTTTGAGTTTTTTCTTTTGCGCTTGTTCTGGCACACGTTCACACAGACATGGCGGACTGTCAGACTCGCAATACGCTGAATACATAGGAAGTGTGACCAAATTGTCTAACGTTAAATATACCTACTTCCGTACCAGAGAAGGAAACGCTGACAGTACGAAATACCAAAAAGAAGTTATATAGAAATATTTATTAAATTAATCTTAATAAGTTACTTTTTCTTCTCTATAAACCCGCAGATCTCAGAATTGAATCTGGATAACTGCAGGAGTACACGCATTGTTGGCCTTACAGATGAATATACCGCCTTGGAATCATTAAGTTTGATAAATGTGGGTTTGACCACACTCAAAGATTTCCCCAAGTTACCCAATTTAAAGAAATTGGAATTATCCGATAATCGAATTTCAAGTGGCCTAAACTATTTAACGACCAGCTCAAAATTACAATATCTTAATTTATCTGGTAATAAAATCAAGGATTTGGAAACGCTGAAGCCCTTAAAGGAATTCAAAAACTTGAGTGTATTGGATCTATTCAATAATGATGCCACTCAAGTGGAAAATTATCGTGAGAAAATCTTCAAGATGTTGCCCTCGTTAAACTTTCTGGATGGGTAAGCTAAGCTAAGCTAAACTACGCATGCTATACTAATAATAAACTAATGTTGTTTTGTAATTTATTATAGATTTGATTGTAATGATGAGGAGGTTCAATCGGACGGCGATGATGATGAGGAGGTCAACGGCAATGACTCAGAGGACGAAGGTGTGTACCATTAAAACTAGCATTTCGTCGATGAATTGTTAAGATGCCCAATTTTGCTGTTTATACGGCTCTATAGTTCGTTCCCTCCTTTTCTCTGCAATCATTGTTAGTTTCGTACTTTGGCTCATAGCCATTCATTCCTTATTGTCACATTCGTTAAGAAATGTTCAGTTATCGTCTATATCGTACATATTACAATACACAGATTCTGTCGACTTTCAGATGAGCGCAGTGCCTTCTGTGTAAATGGTTTAGAAATCGATTTAGATGAGCTCGATGCATTGGAGCAGCGTATTAAAGCCAAGAAACGTTTGCAGGAAACACAAGAGCAAAAGCCTCCTGATGCTGATAATGATGAAGTAGACGAATTAGACGAATATTTAAAAGAATTGCAAATCAAAGAGAAAGCAAAGCTCGACAGCCAATCTGTGATAGAGCCTAACCATCCAACAGTACAGCCGAGTAGCAACCAATCAAGCACGAATTTTGCAATTTTAATCTATTGGTTTTTAGCAATATTAAATCTGGCGAATGCCGCCTATTGTAAGCATTTGTGCATACAGATTTTTAATTAAAACCTTATCAATTTGCTTGCATTGCTTCCAGTTTCTGGTGATGATGACGACGAGGAGGGTGGCGACAGCGATGAGAGTGAAGACGGCGATGTATCCCTGGCGGAGGTATTTTAATAATACATTTACAAATATATACAACAATCAAATAACTAATTTATTGTTTATGTGCAGGTCTATAATGATGATCTAGAGGAAGACAATTCCGATTGGGAGGAAGGCGAGGGCGGCGGCGAGGATGATGAGGATGAGGATTCAGATATTGATGAGGCCGATGGTGAGGCAAATGAATCGGCTGCATCGGCCAATGCCAATGAGAAGGCTGCCGAGAAGCCCGGTGAGTGAAAGATAAATATATGTCACATGGTCAACAATAGTTCATGTTTTACTTATCGGTTTTTCAGATGAATCGCAAGCTAGGGGCAAGAAGAGAAAGCATGATGGTTAAAAGCAACATGATCTACAAACTGTATCGTCTTTGTACGTTATAAATTTAAATATATACACCAATACAAACAAACACATTCACACTCACATACTAAATACAGCAAACACAAAAAGAAATCACATCATATTTTGATAAAACAAAAATGAAAAACAATACAAAAAAGGAGAAAATAAGAAAGGCTCCATTAGAAAAAGGAAATCAACATTTGTTTCGTTACATTTTAAGCTAATTATTCTAAAAAAAAAAAAAAAAGAAAAACAATGTAATAATCAAAAGATGATGATAACTTGTAAGTGAACACTAAAACAAAACAAAAACAATAACAAACACACACAGACAACAGCAACCAAACCCAAAATGTTTCACACAAAAAAGAAAATGAAAGAAAACAACAAAAAAAAAGAAAAAAGAAAATAACAAAATAGAGAGTTCCAATTAAATTCATTTTTGGCAATTAAATTTGCATTCTGAAACACATTGTAAAATTGCTTAGCATTAAGTTAAAAAAAAGTTTATCAATATATAATGATTACAAAAAGAATGTAAAATTAAAAGAAATGAAGAAAGAAAACCCACACATTTTACAATGATGATGATGATGATATAATGTTACATTTGAACAAACAAAGAAATTGCTAACTTGCGCCTAAAACTGTTTACCCTTTACGTTTTTGGCTTTATTATTTGAAAAAAAAAAAAGAAAAACCTTTTTTCATTTGCTGCTTCTCTTCGGTTTCGTGTTACAAAGATCTATAAACAATTTAACTGCTAAGGAGGATTTTTAACTATCTCTTAAGTCATTCCTTTTTGAATATACATACATTAAACATTACACAAAAATTAGTTAAGCGCAATTATAATTTATACTTCCTTATGAAGCTGACGAACACTATCTATTATTCATTGTTACCCACATCCATTCTCTCTAAACGCAAAATTGTTTAAACTTAAAAAAAAACACCTATTTTTAAGTACACAAAACTATATTATCATACAGATTTGTTTCAAGTTCTTTAAAAGCAGTAGTAGCATGCAATACAATATATTAGACAAGAATATATATATATTTTTTCATTTCATTAAAAAACAACAAATGCAATACGTTTGTTCAGGTACAGACAAATTGTATAAACACCGAAAGCGAGACCGAAATACATAAAAATTAAATAATTTTAGAAAATCTTGTTTTACTGTTAGAAATGAACTTAACATGTTTAAAAATTGACTTGCCTATAGCTGATTTTCCATTTAACATTGAAAATTAAATGTGTCTCTGGTTAGATAAACTATCGATTACGTCTGTCTAAATATCGGCTCAATACTTTGACGCTACCCAGCACCTTTTTCAAATACACATTTCCCAACACTGTACGGCACTTGAACATGCGCAAAAGAGGAAGCAAGCGTTGCACATATGCGGAAGCGAGAGAGTGATATTCAGCCAACGCTGACTACAACGTCGCGACGCTGTCGACGTCTCCTTTATTTGACGTCGAATCGTCGCAGCGGCTGGCTGTGTTAAAATATACATACTAGACAAGTAGACTGCGCTGCCTGCTGCATTCTTGGAACAAAAATTTCACTGTTGGCAGCGACTGAGAAATAAAATTGAACGTCGACGTCGCGACGTTTCCTCCTCGAAGAAGACCAAATCAAAATAAAAACAAATAAACTATAAAGGGTGCGTGCGCGCCAATTATTTAACAACAATTAGCAAACGAAAGAAACAAAGTGAGTTTTAGTTAGTTCGTTTTATATTAATGGCAATATTGATAAAGTGGCCAATTTACATGCATACACACACGTACATATAAACGCGCGCACACACATACGAATATGCACATGTATAAGTAGTAAATTTAATATATTTGTGTGTTTTCTCGCAGTGCACACACTAAGTGCAGCCATCGAAATGGACAAACTGGATGCTAACCTGGAGCAGCAGTTTGATCTCAATCTAATTGAGGCGGTTAAAATGAATCCCGTTATATACGATCGTTCACATTACAATTACAAGCATTTTGTGCGTAAGGCACAGACTTGGAAGCAAATAGCTGAAACACTTGGAGTTAGCGGTAAGTGAAATTGTAGTGTTGTGAAACGGGTGTCCGAAGGGTGCAACCAGCCCATAAGCTGTGTGGCAAGTGAAATTGGTTGGTTGGGTATTGGCCGCTGAGGCAGCTGGCGCCGTCGTCGTCGCAGCAAATTGATTAAATTCTATGTGTTCGTGTAAGAGAGGAGGGAGGGTAGAACGGGTGCAGAATGGGCTGGCAACAGAGACGACATACGACGACATCGTCGACAGCGACAGCGGGCGTCGGCAGCAGGCGGGCAGCAAAAGCAAGTGTACAGAAACGACGCAAAAGTGAACGGCGACGCGGCGGAGACGCGACAGACGATTGTGAAATGACAGGAGCGCAGTGAATGCAAAGCGGTTTGGGCGCTATTAATACACAGAGATACTTCTATAACAGTGATTGGACTTTATGGCGTATTGTGAATTTAATCTAAAAACAATTTAGCATTGCTTGCCTAAGTGAAAATCTAGTTTCAGAACTCCATTTAGGCGCCCGTATTTGGGCGCTTCAGCTACGCTCCTGGCTGCGCTGTCGACGGTGTATGCGCGCAGTCAACATTTTTGAAGTTGCTGTACTTTTGCGTCGCAGTAGTTGTCTTTGTCACACACACGCTGCCTACGCCAGCGTTTATTTTTATACAAGAGCCACTGCTGCCGTCGCCGCTGCAGCTGCTGCCAACATTGCTGTTGGCTGTTCACTCACACACACGCGCACACATTCAGCAATAAACGACACGCATACAGATTCAGGCAATCGTCGACCAACCGAACAGCTTTCATTTTATTTCATGACTGTATACCAAAAAAAAAAAAAAACAGTTTCGTCTGTTCCCCCTGTCTGCCCAAAAATGTCGTGTTCCGATTTCGATTTTGGGGCTTTTCCATTATTGAATTATGCAAGTCGTTTTTTTATATTGAAAGAAAACATTTTGGCGCCAAACCATTTGAAAGAAGAAAATATGAAGACGACTCTGTCGTCAGATTTGCTACATGGTCCGCGCAGCTGGCGTTACCAATACCAAACGGGCAGAATCAACTCGTAGTTGTAGTCGACGTCGGCAGCAGCAGCGGGTGTGCGCCTGTCGCCAGGCCGCTCGGAAGCTGCTGTCGCTGCTGGCGTGCCACGGATTTAGCTTCAGCTCAGCAGCAGCTGCTGCTGCGACTGCTGCTGCTGCTGCTACTGCTACTGCTGTTGCTGCTTCGGCTGCTATTGCTGTAGCTGCTACTGCTGTAGCGGCTGCGGTTGTTGCTGCTACTGCTGCTGCTGCTGCTTCTGCTTCTGCCAATAGCTAACGCCGTTTGTTCAACTGTCAGCGGGGGCGGCAGAGGCAACGCCGTTGACGTCTCGCGGTTTGTTTTGGTTTGCAATTTGACGCACACATATGGCTGACGTCTGGCAGCAATGCCGGCGTTGCCATCCCCCTAAAGAAAAACTTGACAAACGAAGAAAAGTAAACAAACTTGCTTATCAGCGTGATATTAAAGAGAATAAAATGCAATAATAATAAATAAAATTATTGTATTTATAGCAGATATTTATTAAATATATTTTATTTCAGAACAAAAATGTACAAAACGTTGGAAGAGCTTACGCGACAAATTCGCGCGCGAAATGAAATTGTGCCAAGAATCGCGCTGGCGCTACTTCAAGCAAATGCAATTCCTTGTAGACTCCATAAGGCAGTATCGTGAATCGCTGTTGGGCAAATGTGCCAATGGCAGCCAAAATGCCAATCAAGTGGCTGATCCCACGCAACAGCAACAGGCACAGCAGCAAACGGTCGTCGACATCTTTGCACAGCCCTTCAATGGCAGCGCAACCACATCCGCGCAGGCACTGACGCATCCGCACGGTGAGTACACGATTAAACGTATAACATATTCGATTTTAATAAAGATTTCCCCATAGAAATCACTGTCACTGGTGACGCACAGCTCGCCACGGCTGTTGGCAAAGATCAGAAGCCATATTTCTATGAACCGCCGCTGAAGCGTGAACGTAGCGAGGAGGAGCACAGTGACAATATGCTGAATAGCATTAAGATATTCCAGAACAATGTCTCACAAGCCGTCAGTGCCGAGGATCAATCGTTTGGCATGGTCGTCACCGATATGCTCAACACGCTGGGCGTGCGGCAAAAGGCCGAGGCCAAGGTGCATATCATCAAGTATCTGACGGATATGCAACTGCTGGCACAGCATAACAAATACTAACTGTCGAGTCGTTTGTAGCATTACCAGCATCAAAGACAATTGCTGCAACTACTTCAATTGGACAATGTGCTGGACGCTCGATGGTTAATGTAAAACAGCTACATACAACAACAACAACAACAACAACAAACAAACAAACAACCAACAACAATATAACAAAACAAGATCCCCAAAAAACAGGAGCCGCCTGTTTTTTTCTAGCTACTAAGTCTTAAAAGTCAAACTAAAGTTAAAATTAGTTATAAAACAACAAACACACACTTCATAAACACTTACAAAAACATTATACAATTACGTAAGCACAAGTCGTATATATATATATATTTATATATATATATATATATATATATATATATATATATATATATATATATATATATATATATATATATGCTCTTATGTGCTTTGATCTTTTGTAGTTGGCCCTACGCACCCGTTAAATTCTCTAACCCAGTTTAGATGTGTACAAAAAGCTAAAAGAAAACTGGTTCTAGAAATTTTATTGTACGTAGTTTCTTTGTAAAACAATTTACGAAATGTTTATGCGAATTAATTTTGTAAAACACAGCATATTGTATATTTTTGACTACCATTTAGTTTAATCATGCCATCGGGTTTAGTTTTGTAATTTCTTGTAAAATTAAGACAAATTGTAATCACAAAAACAAAGAAAAGAAAAACGTTATTTTAATTTTTTAAGTTCTGTTGTAATATGCTAAAAGAAAAAAACGCTTGAAATTCAAATTGAAAGGCTTTAATTACGACCCTTTTAAGCATATATATACACATAAACACACACATAAAGCATATTACAAAATTACATTGAATATATTTCTGCATATTTATATATATATTTTTCTGTATACATAAAAAGGTTTTTAAATAACGCTGAAAAGAATTCAAAAACGTTATAGACGTGTAAATTTTTGCCAAAAACGATATTGTAAGATGCAATGTTGTTTTAACATTTCAATTTACCTAATGTTTTTTAAATCATTAATTGTACATTAAATCATTAATTGTGCAATTATTTGCAATAAACAAAAAAAAAACAATTATACAAAACCAAAAAATAATTGGAACATTTATTAACAGTTGCAGTGGCAATTTGTTGACCGATATGGCAACCCTGTTGTGCAGTAAACAAAAGACAGCTGTTTCTGTATTGCCGTTTGTAGTGCGCTACAAATTTTTATATAATGTCAGCAAAGAGTGAAAATGATGAAACAAAAACGTCGAAAAACGATACAAAATTAGTCGATACATGGGCCGTAAGTAATACTGGCTCAAATAATACACAAATATTAAAATTACAAATTATAGATTCGACCCTGTCATCTATATAAAGATGAATACGACGATTGCAGCAGCTTTAAGGCACGCTTCCATCAATATTTCGTATTTGGGAAAAACACGGATTGCTCGCAATGGCTGAAAGACTTTCAAGATTGCGAGCGCTATCAGCGTTCCAATGGCAATGATATGGAAGCGGGCAACGCTATAATCAAGAGCGAGGAGCAGCGACGATTGGCAAGACTACGCGCACACTACGCGAACGATACGTGGACGAAGCGTAAACAGCCGCCAGAGGATTGGGCCAAGCCGTTGCCCGAATGGCTGGAAAAACGCAATGAAAACACCTATTTGGAGTTAAAGCAAAAAGAGCTGATGGGCTTGTCGGTACCAGAGGCGGAACCGTGTTCTTATTGCGCTATTATGTAGAAAATAAAACATTTATATATTAAATACTTTTTTTACATATGCACAAATGCACGGTCTGGCAACGCTACGAGAACAGCTGTTTGGGCTTGCGCGTGTTGTGCTCGGGGGTGTAGAGTTCTTGTTCCGAAGCAGCCACAGTTTCATTATATACATTTAGAAAATAAACAAATTGTTTAAATTAAAGATGTTGAAGGGCAGCACACTAAAAGCATTGGATGTTCGGATTGTACAGCGTTACATTGAATCAAGGTCAGCAGGTAAATTGTTAATTATATAATCTCAAATCTTGGCAACCTTTGCCTAAGTATGTATAAAAAAAAATAAAAAATTCTATCGAGTGTGTAAACTATATTATAAATGAGTAAATTTTTAAAAAACTGTTACTTAAAAAACGCAGCCTTGTTTGTTGCAGTTGCCAACATCAGATCAGGCCGCGTAACTATATAAATGGCATCCACCGTTCCTACATAACGTTCAATGATTTTCGCAACAAAAATCGGATGTACACTAAAAAAGAGCTTGTCGGGTGAGTCAACGATAAAGTCAAATTAAACTATAAAAGACCAGCGAATATATTCAATTCAATGCAGTTACTCCATGGAAGATATGTACAGTGTCGTCTCCGATGTTAGCAACTATTACAAGTTTGTGCCCTATGTTACGAAATCGCAGGTGCACAGCGTCGACCCGGGTGGAGGAGGATTTAAGGCGGATCTGATTGTTGGTTTCCCACCACTCAACGAGATTTACACATCGCAGGTTACATTGCAGCCGACCAGACGTGTTAAATCGGAATGCCACGATGGCCGATTATTTAACTACCTGCTTAACGAATGGCATTTCAGTCCTGGCCTTAAGGACATACCGAACTCATGCGTTGTCGACTTTCGGGTTGCCTTCCAATTTAAATCTTTGTTGCACAGCAATATTGCCAATATTTTCTTTGATATGATATGCGAACAAATGGAGAACGCATTCATCTTGGAAGTTAACCGTCGCAGTGGTCCACCATCTATACGCTCGCATGTCCTCAAATCGAGGCGATCGTGACAAAATCCAATCCAATCCAATCCAATACAACCTAACCCAACCCAGACACAATCACTATCACTATCACAATTTCCTTTCATGTTTTTCAAATAAAATAGAGTAATGTCTGTTTAGTAAAATAGGAGATGCGCATAATATAAATGTTTACAGAGGCGTTTTATATTTCTTTTGTTATAACAAATTGTAAATAAAATTGATGAAACACAAAGTATACTATTGATGTAAGTACTTAATTGCAAAAACTAAAAGCTTTTCATTTAACAGTCTTGCTCGTTTTTTTAATACCAGACATACAAAAATGTTTTTGTTTTTCTTTTATAATAATTGACGGCAAGTAGTTAAAGTTGAAAATTAAGTTTAAAATTATAATTATATTGGAATGGCATCGTTTAAGTTTGAGAACTTCTCAAGAAGTGGTCTACAACATTACAATTACATGCTTATACAATATAATTATTCTGTTTTTTCTTTATTATTTTTTATATTTTTAATATAACTTAAACTACGTTTAGATGACAGTTGTTTTTATTGCGATATCAAATAATATATATAAAAATTGTCATACGACTTTTGTGCGCCACATAATAATTTTTATAATTCAAATAAATGCAAAATATTCGGATAAATTAAAAAAATTATTTGAGACAAGTTAGATATTAAAAAAAATTAAAATATGTTATTTACAGTAGAATATCGCAAATTCTTAAATATTTAAACGTAGTTTTCGTTAGGCAGTTAATAGATTTAGTTAGAACACTAAAAGTTGCCTGAAGAAATGAAGTACAAATGTGTTCTTAGATATATATAAATATATCTAGGGTAGTCTGACCGATTTAACAAACAAAATTCAAATTAACTCGTATTTTTCTATATTTTATCTTCAAGTTAAGAGTGGAAATTTTGAAGACTATACTCCTATATATACGTATATTTATGCATCTAACAGATACTAAATATAACTCGAGTGTGTCCTATATATATAATGCTAAGCTCTCTACAATTTTACTTTATACAAGTTGGGTAAGGGACGTGTGTAACGATCTCTACTTAGAGCAGTACAAAAAGTTGACTAACATACAACAGTAAGTGATAATTTGCTCTTGAATACCCTTTCATTCAGTTCGGCTAAGTTTTTAAGGGTATATGTTAGATCACTTTGTATTTTGTTTTTATAGTTTCGGTTTAGTTTCTGATATTGTCCAGTGAAATTACGCGTGCAACTACTTAGGAAACAATTAAGCTACATAGTTCAACAAATAGTTATACATATATATGTATATGACAAATAGCAGCTAATGATTATGATTATGCAATACAAGGTATATACGTAGTAGATAGGTACAATTCCTTAATCACTAAACGAAAAACTAAAAGTCAAGAAAACAAATACATTTCGGACGTATACGAAAGCATGCTAAAATACAATCTGAATTAAGTCAAAAAATTCGTTGCGTTTAAAAGATAATTGGAAAGGGATGCGGCAAAACCATTTCAAATGGTTTTTCTTTTCAAAAAATATCACTTATTGGGCTTTTCGGGCCAGCGATGTGGTTGCCACGAGGCGGCAGCAACCACTGCCGCCAGTTTCCTTCGTTCTCAGTTGTGCTTAGCCCGCTTGCCAAACATATAGCCCTTCCAACGCTCGGCAGTCTGGGCGATCAATGGATCGCTATCTATGGTAGCCAGCAGCAGCAGCTGATTCACATGCGTTGCATGATAATCCCAGCGTGCCAAATTTGGTGCCACGCCCAAACTCAAGTGACGCAAATCGTAACTGGTGCCGGAGCCGGTGTCGTAGAGCAGCAACATCTTCTTTAGCGAATGCATGCCCTGGGCAAACAATTTGCCAGCCTCGCGTGCTATTTTGCCTGGAGCTGTGCTGTTCAGATCATACAGACCCAGCAGTGAGTAGATGAAACCATTGAGTACGTACGATGCAGGCGTAGTGGGATACTCCTCGTACCTGAAGAAGACAATGATCAATGGTAGCTCAAGAATTATCAACCCTTTCTGCACTTACCAATAGTATTTATCCATAAATTGAGCCAGGACACCGCCATCCCGCGAGTAGATGCGATACGGTTGCAGCCCTAATGAAGCTGCTTTTAAATAACGCGTATCTCCTCCGGAATGCCAATAGGCACGTGCCAGCACAGAGATGGCATGTCCCTGACCCATGGCCGATATCCAGCCGGGGCGCAGCTCCGCAAAGCCATTTAAACTGCGACGCACTGGATTCGTCCAGCCGCCTGTTTTGATATCCTGATTGTGCACAAACCATTCGGCCGCATCATAAAAATGGGCTAGATGATCGCTCGTTGAAAGTGTAATATTATCATAGAAGCCAATGCCTAAAAAGGCGATGGATAGCACCTCCAAATCGCTGCGACGCACCTTTAATGGAGAGCGTTTGTCGCCCATGACAATGCCCTTCTGTAGATCAATGTGTAAGTCTCTCGTGATGTGACGCCATTTGTTTAAGGAACCAGCGCCCAAACCATAGTAAATGTTGGATTCCTGTACGCTGAGCAACAGCTCCGCTGCCAGGTAATGTAAGTTGTAACTGTGCTTCGTATCCCGATTCAGCACGGTGACCATCAAGCTGCTACTGTTCGTTACCAGCAGAAGGTCTACACTCAAAACCAAATCCTGCGTTTGATTTAACTGTATGCTAATGGCGCTCTCATAGCCAATCGTTGTCTCAAATTGAACGATGCTCGTGTTAAATTTGTGATGCCAGATGCGGGTCATATTGCTCGTCTTTGGCGTGTTCCAGTCCATTTGATTGCCATCGGCATCCTCTAGTATGTGGATGCGTGGCGTCTGCTCTGTTAGATTTTTGCTATAATGCGCCAGCGCAAATTGTGCAATCTGTGTGGGATAGAAGTAGCCATGTTTTTCCCATTGCGTGCTCACTGGCACGCCCTCTGCAGCACTAATGCACTTGACCCGATCCCGTACCTCCACATTGTAGTTCTCGAAGTACATGAAAACGCCGCGTGGATCGTATTTGCCCTTTGGCAAATTCACCTTTGCGTTGCTGTGCATCCAATTGAATTTGGCTGCATCGTTGCTACTGCCTCCAGTTGTGACAGCTCCACTGACATCGAAATACTGGCGCAGAAAGGAAAAGGGCACATAGACCTCATTGGCATTCTCATCCCGCTTGCAGTGTATGCTATACTCCTGATTTATAGCGCATTCAATGTCCTGCAAGGGCGTCGATGCCAAGTCCTGCCCTGCAGCTGAACTTGACAGCGTCTCAAAGGCTTGCCGCCTGCTCAGCTGACGCACGAAGTCCGGCGAGAAGCTAAAGGCTGCACAGCGCATATAAATGCCCAATGTGATGACCATCACAGCTACTGTGAGCAGCAGGAGTACAGCTTTCAGATTCAGACGCATGATGAAGAATACCAGGGGCTCACGCTACAATTAAATGGTATTAACAACCTGTTAATTGATCAAATTTATGGTGTTTACCTTTAAATATTGTGGCTTACGCAGCGCTGCTTCCCGCTGCTGCTGCAACGTCGACTTCGACGACGGCGTTGGCTGTGCGCTCAGTGTGTGGACATCGCTGGAGCTGGCTCTGCCACTGGCATCCACTGACAGGTATTCGGACATGCAAATTTGTAGCCTGGTCACACTTTGCGCGAGCGAAGGAGCCTTTTCCGTACTAATTTATGCAGTGCGCTGTAACGTCATATTCTAAATATATAAAAGGCACACACACACACTCACATACACATGCAAAACATGCTTAAATACGACGATGTTGTTGTTGATTTTGCACAGGTAACCGACGCATTGATTGGTTGCTATTAAACATGGTGGTGCAATTGCAGGTCTTTATATATACTGCCACTATACGAGCGTCGATTGCACCTGCAATTGCAGCGATTTGTTGTGTTGATTTATTTTTTGTAATTTGCGAACAGCTGGTATAGCACAGCAATTTTATTTTATACATCTGGTTTTTATATTAATTTTAAAATCTTTTCTATACATTTATGACTTTTCCATCGCACTAAAGCACTACCCACACTATCAACTGCAAAAGCAAACACAAACACAACTGCAATGAAGACGAGGAAGAAAGATACTCAAAGTTTATACGATAAATCTGTAACACAATATTCATCGCTACCTAAAATCAATCAGTTTTAGTATTAATTCAATTAATTTGTAAGTCAACTTTTATATTTGAAATAAATGACATGATTTGGCCATAACAACAATATGTTGGCTCTTTTTGAAAAATAAAACATTTAAATGAATCATCTGTTTGTCTCACAATAAATACGAAGGCATAAACGCAGAAATGTTGTGTTTTGACAGCTGACAGGGTTGCCACACCGTTAAGAGGGTTGCTTCTCTTTGTAAACAATAAACGAACAAAAATATTTACAAAATTACACAAATAAAACCAAATTAAAAACCAGCAAAAGACGACAATTAAAAGAATTTATTATGCATGCTGTTGTTTGTTCTGTTCAGACGGATTAAAAAATATGCGGTTATACACATGTCGGTTGCATCCCTAATCATAAATAAATCAATAGCGGCGTGATTTGTTTACAAAAATGTTTAACTAAATTTTTGTGAAGCCAAACAGAATGTTTACAGTTAATTTTAAATTAAGTGCAATATGTCAGTTGTTACTGCTATTGCTGCTGCTAAAAAGCAAAGTGCTGCCGGCGTCCGCATCCAATGGGGATCGCACACAATTCTTTCACAATTGTCGTCAGAACTGCGAACGAACAAATTGTTCAGCCGGTAAGTAGAATATTTATTTATATACTATACAGTCCAAAAAACTCAAGAGCGTATTTTCAGATGGCTTAGAGATACAGGAACAGGCTATTAGCTTCTATGGTCAAACCATTTTTGATCGCCTCTTTGGCTGGAGCTGCGCGGATGAATGCTCCTATGGTTGCATGTGGCGCACAGTTTTTGCATTTATGGAGCGAGGCTGGCCTATACCTCAGTTCTATGGCAAATGGCCATTTCTACGGCTGTTGGGAATGCAGGAGCCGGCATCAGTTATATTTTCGGTATTAAATTTTATTATGCATTATCGTATGTTACGCAAATTTCGTTGGATAGTGCGCCCAGACAGTCCCTGCTTTATGCTTGCCCACATCTTTGCTTTGGTGAGTGCTTTAAAAGTATTTTGAAAATACGACTTTTATTGTCTTGTGTTTTGTTCTAGGTATGTCTTAATGGGTGGATTTGGTCAGCTATATTTCATACAAGGGATTTTCCCATAACTGAGCTGTTGGACTATGCATTTGCATACTCCATTGTGCTCTGTTCCCTTTACTGCATGCTAATGCGCATGCTGCATCGATACTCTCTCTTTTTAAGAGGCGTCATTACCTTGGCTTGTGTCTCGTACTACATCAACTACTTTGCATATCTGAGCACGGGCAAATTCAATTACTCTTTTAATATGAAGGTAAACATAGCGACTGGTGTGCTAAATGCAGTGGGCTGGTTTATATGGTGCCAACGTGTGCGCAATCGGAGGCCCTACTTCAAGCGCATTTTACGATTTTACGTGTTGTTCGCTATGGCCATGAGCCTTGAATTATTGGATTTTCCTCCTATTTTATGGATACTCGATGCACATTCGCTGTGGCACTTGGCTACAGTGCCTATAGTCCCATTATACTACGAGTGGGTATATATATATATATATATAAATGAATCAACTAATGCATATTTAACTTTGCAGCTTTCTCATTGAGGATTGTCAGACTCTGCTTAAGGAGAAGGAAATGCAACCATCCTATCCCCACTATAACAAGGATATTTAGACAATTATATATATTATATATATATAAATGACAGATGTGTGGCCGTTATAGTCGCTTTGCACTGTATTGTAAATGTATTATACAAAACACAATTATGCTACATTTGTCCACACTGCGATATAGTAACAGGTAGTTTCGGCTTATTATTGGGTCCCGTTGGCACATTCTCAATTTTTCGCATAATCAAGAGACCATCTAGCACACGTCCAAAGACCACATGCTTGCCATCCAAGAAATTACACCTAGCACAGGTGATGAAGAATTGACAGCCATTGGTGTCTCGCCCGCTATTGGCCATCGCCAATAGGCCAGGCGAATCGTGTTTTAACGTAAAATTTTCATCGCCGAATGTGTTGCCATAAATGCTGGTTACTCCAGTACCATCGCCTTGAACGAAATCTCCGCCTTGTATCATGAAGTCTTTGATGACTCTGTGGAAGCTGGCACCTTTGTAGCCAATGGGCACGCCGTCCGGCCGATACTCGCCCGTGCAAAATTGTCGGAAGTTTTCTGCTGTGCGCGGCACAGTGTCCGCGAATAACTCAAAAATCATGCGGCCAATTTCCTGTCAATTGCAAGTGATTAAATATTAATAACAAATTCATTATTTATGTTATTCGCTTACCGTTGTGCCCACGGCTATGTCAAAGAACACCACGGGATTGTTTGAGCTGCGCAGTTGCGACTGTATTTGATTCCAATTTGGCATATTTAATATTAATATTACTAATAAATGCAAACGTTTAACAATAAAAGGCGCCGGTTGTGTTTTGTTTACGTTTTTGCAGCGATGAAAAAACAATAATCGACTACCACGATAGTGCAGTAGTGCCTCGGCTATCGATAGTTTGCGCTAGCCGGCAATCGTATTAATCGTTCAGCTGTGCGCTCACACATGTGGGTTTGTATGTTTTGTGGTTGTGGAAGGTTTGTGAATTTATTATAATTGAATTGTGTGCAAGTGCTAGACATATATTTACGAGCCCGTTGATGTTATTCGGAGTTAAAACCAACGTTTGTTTGAGCTAATACAGACAGACAGCAAGCGGGAAGGCATTAGCATTAAGGGTAAGTCGCACGCATTGTTGTTGTTTTACCGTTGATTTCTTGTGTGTTATTTTCTTGCCTGGGTTAATTATAAAAATTCCCGACAGTTGAGCACTTGACTTTGAATTATTGACACATAATTATTGATGTTTGTTATTTAAATCAGTCAAGTCAAATTGCATGCAAACAATTGACACGATCAATCAAGGGTGCACGATTATTGCTATCTCCCTTCCACTTTAGTTACAAATCGAAAGCTCTAAAAGCTCAACTTAAAATTTGTTTGCGAAATTTGCAACTTGTAAATAAAGTGAAAAAAGTTGTAGTTAATTATATATTTTTATTAAAAAAAGTCGCATATCAAATGCTAAGTAAATGTGTGTGTCTATAAATAAGTGGTTTTTTCTTTTGTTTTGTTTTGTTTTGTTGTTCATGAGAGCTTTGACTAAACATACAATGCATACAATAATATTGATATGTAGGAACCCAACAATAAATTAAATGAAAATTAGAAGCGCAACTTAAAAACTATATAAATATGTACTTAAATTCAAATTGAGCAAATTCAAATCGTTCGATTTTAGGTGCAGGCCTCATTGCAGCTCGGTTCTAAACTTCAATAAAAACACAGCTAATACTATCTACATATTTGCATATTCGTCCCTCAATTACTGGCTTCATCCGTGTCGACGTCGGAAATATCCTTTAGTTTTGTATTGTTATTTTGATTATCTTCTGCCGCCTGTTGAAAGTTTTGCTGTATCGTTTTGGGATCCACCACCAAAATGGGCGTACAGCCGTCCATAAGATGCTCGCTTTGACTCTGGAACTGCTCTCGTGATATGCTGCGTGTGAAGGAGAAACGCAATGACTTCGTCCGCGTAAGCTTCTTCTTGATGGGTGGCTTGCCAGAAACAGGCCCCGTTGGCTCTGAGCTGGTGCGTTCTGTTTCGGGTGTGGCTGGGGCGGAGCTGATCTCCAGCTGAACATCCCGCAGTATTTCCTCCGCAAAGCCTTTAATCTGATTCCACGCATCTAGTATATCCTTTTCTGTGGCATGCTCATACGTCACACAAAAGCGTATCACATAGCGTCCATTGAATTTAGCCGGCGTCATGTGCATCTTGCCTGAATGATTGATTTGTGCCAAGAGCAAATGATTGGGTTCATCGCCGGTGCTGCGGGGCGAATAAGATCAAATATAATATTGTAGTATGGAAGAGGAATTAGTTTTTGTGAGCAAACCTACCGCATGCGAAAGCACACCAGTCCCAGGTGAACATCATTGCGCACTTCGAAGCGTTCGTCCTTGCGCACCAGCATCTCGAATTTCTTGGCCAGCACCATGTGATTACGTATGTACTCCTGCAGTCCCTTCACGCCATATGTGCGAAAGACGAACCATAATTTGAGGGCGCGAAAGCGACGACTCAGTGGTATGCCATAGTGTCTGTAGTCCACTCCATTTATGTGCTCGTGTCTCAAGTACAGGGGATTCACATTGAGTGCGCTCTTCAGTACCATTACATCGCGCACCCACAAAGCGGATGCATCAAAGTTGGTCAACAGCAGCTTGTTGGGATTTGTGTTAAATGAATCGGCGTACTCCAGGCCAGCAGAGAACACACGCATCTCGGGCAGTATGAATGAGTTGCCAGCATAGGCGCCATCCACATGCAGCCAAATGCTCGACACCTGTCGGCACACCTTACCAATTTCGGAGATATCGTCGAAGGCACAGCCACCGGTGGTGCCCACCGTGGCGACCACAAAGAACGGCGTCAACCCTGCATTCGCATCATTCTGTATGGCCTGCTGCAGGAGATCCACGCGCATGCGTCCGCGTTCATCTGCATCGATGATGCGCAGCTTCACTAGCGCCATTTTGGTGGCCTTCTCCACGCTGGAGTGCGCCTCTCGGCTAGCATAGGCAATCAGATTGGGCAGAAAGACACTGTCATGCACGCTCGTATGACCCTTCAGTTCGTTAATTGCCCTCGCACGTGCTGTAATGAGGGACACCAGCACACATTCCGAAGCAGAACCTTGCAAAGCGCCGCCACCTGTGCTGCCAGGTGCATCCGAAATGAATGCCTTGGGCAGACCCAATGCCTTGGCATACCAGTTCATCACAATTGTCTCCAGCTCTGCGGCAGCCGGGCAACTGGCCCAGCTGAAGCCAATGGAGCCGATGGCACTGCTTAGCATATCGCCTAGCACCGAGGGAAAACTGTTGCCCGATGGAAAATAGGCAAAGAATTTCGGATGATTCCAGTGGACGACACCGGGCATTATCTTTTGCTCGAAGTCCTCGAGTACATCTTTGAACGACTCCGGTGACTGGGGCGCGTCAGCTGCAATGTAAACAAATCAAGCTCGTTAGTTGGCCCTGGCAAGAGTTTAGCTCAAATCTATAGTAGATATATATAGTATATATATAGTTTATATATATCGTTTAGCACCTATAAAGTTGTTGCTATACATTTTGTTATTTTTGGCAGCGTACGGAAAAGATCGGCAAGATTTGTGCTGAAGCAAATCTCTATCTACATTTACACCTGTGTGCGCGTGTGTGCAGGTATTCGCCTAATTAATTGATTTGTTTTGTTCAACTATAGAGAGATTGCGGTATTCATCAGACGTAAATATTTAGCTTAACTAACTGTGCGCAATTCGCTCGAAATTCGCTTGAAAAAGCACAAGTCTTATGACCCAACTGCCTGATGCCCCAAATCGGGCCCACGCCACACTGAAACATACAGTTTTTTATTAAAAAAAAAAAATACAAAAACAAAACCAAATATAAATTGTTGTTGATGTTTTTTCATGGATTCACGGTTACTATGTGGGCTTCTAGAGAGCTACAACTCAATTCGCATTGTTTGCTCGCAATTAGTCAACATGAAATCCACAAGTTTCTCAAGTGTCTGTTGAGTGGAGGTTTTTTTTTAAAATTTTATTTGTTGCTGTTGAGGATTTGTTTTCATTTTTTCTTGAATATTTTGTGTGAAGTGAAATTTATTTTTCGTTTTGCTAATTTGTTTAGAAGCCTTTAACTAATTGTTGTTTACTTGCGCCATCTCTCTGACTGGCAATATTTTCTAGTTTATAAACAAAATTTATAGTTTTCTAGATTGCATCAAGATAGCGCAAACATTTTGCCCATTTTTACGTTTTGAATGAATTTTACATTCCATTGACCACAAAAAAAATAAAATAAAAATAGCAAACCAAACAAATATTTATAATTACATCGGCAAATTTATACGCGCCTTATTTATAAATTGTTTGTAAATAGACTAGCTTAACTAGGTGATTTATGTGACTCTTTTGGCTTCTTTCTTACCTGGCAATAGTTTTTTCAAATATCCAGGATCTAGTGTCGGCGCCACGTCGCGCTCTTCAATATTGCTGCCATATTGACATATATAATCGATCACTTCCTTGCCATATTTGCGAAACTCTTCCACATTCATTTTGCTGTTGTTTTTTTATTAGAATTCTTTTGGCCACTTATCACTCTTGATTTTTTTTTTTTTTGAAATTTCTTGAACACTTTTACACTTGGCCCAAAGCTAGGCAACACTTGTATCTCGCTCACTTTAATCCGTTGCGTTGTCACGTTGTGCTCGTTGCAGCTTCCTTTGCGCGAATGACTCGCAGTTTGATGCTGCATTCGTTTTTATAACGAACGCACGCGCGTTCTCTTTCTCTCTCTCTCTGCTCGGCTCTGCTCCGCTCTCGCCTCTCACCTGCTCTCTCTCTCTATAGCTGTTGCTCGCTCGTGTTTGTTGTCTTCTTTCTCAAATTACCTGCTCTGTACTTTGCCGCCTTCGACTTATTGAAGTCGGTTTTTGGGAAACCCGCTTTTGCCAATTTGCTGAGTCTTCAGTTCGTTGCGCGCGCGCTTTGTGTAGGTTGTTTCGGTTAGTTTTTGAATTCAATTTGAGAAATAAAAAAATCCCTGCCGGGAAACATTATTTTATTTTAGCTTTTTTCTGCTTTGCTTGCCATAATTATATGGCTTGAATGCGAAATGAAAGGCCTTTCGTGCTGCGATATGAAACTAACTGAGTCTTTATTAATAGCACATTACCATTGGTTATGTAGAAAGACATATATATATTTATATGTATATATATAATTGAGTGCATGGTAAATACAGGTGGCTAAAGTGAAAAATGATTCAAGGAGTAGTTGGGGGAAATTAAGATAGTTTACTTTTGTTTATATTTGTCGAATGAATCAGAGCAATTATTGGCATAGGTTTGAGCACAGAAAAAGACCCGACAAGATTATGTGTACTAACTAAAATATTACGTATACGTAGCAAAATATTTGCCTATGAAAAGTATCAGGAAAAATAGCTTAAAGGGTAGTTAGGAAAATTGAGATATATTTTTTAGATGCTTATTGAGTAAATTAGTGGCATAGGTTTGAGTGTTATTTAAAAGCAAACACGGACAAAAATTACGCATACTTACTAAAATATTACGTATACGTCAAAGGTATTATAGGCAAACGGCTTATGAGCGACTGAGGAAATTGATGTAGTAAGTTTTTAAGATATTTATTATTTAATTATTGTCATTGGGTCAAGTTTAAATACACAAAATTATGCATACGTACTAAAACATTACGTATACGTAAAGCATATTGATATACAATGTTTATTTACATTTTATTTATTTATGCAAATTTAAATTACTTACATAATTAATATAAAACAAATATATAAATAGAGTAATTTATAATTTAAACTTTTTGCAATTTAGCTCAAAAAACTCTAAAATTTTTGTATACGAAAATGTTCATAAAAATTGAATATATTTTTCATATTATTTAAAAAAATATTTCACATAGTTCTAATACTTATATAAATGACTTAATATCTAAAAAGTATGATCTCTAAGTGACAATTAAAAGTTCAAACCACAATCATTTGTTTTAATGATTACTTAATAACAGCGAAATTAACATTTCGTTATGCATTGTTGCTTTTAATTAGTTTTACACAATCGTTGCCACGCCCACCGCAACTCGCGCGTTTCCCGTTCGAAAGCTTCAACCGGATTTGTATCTTCTTTTCAAATCGCTCTCCCTCGCTCTATCATTTTTATTTTAACCAACTTTCGGGGAACTTTTTGTATATAGGCACAAGACTAGTATTAGAAGACGTGCCTGGAATACGCATTAGACAATATGCAATAACTAAGAAGAAGTAGAGTGCCTAACTAATTCTCACCAAGCGTATTTAACTAAGCTCGTTGATTCTTTTATTTATTTTCCAAATTATTTTTTTTTTTGGGTTTTTGGCAACGGGGAATAACTTTTGACACATGCCTCAAAAGTGGCAAATAATTGAGTAAATACATAAGTTGGTAAAAATCATTAACATTTAAAAAGCTTTCGTGAGTGTGAGTGTGTGTGTTGTCAGATCCCTCCTAATGTGGCAAGCTATGACGTATTTGCCACTTCATTGGAATCTCGTCAGCCGAAGACCCGATTGCAATACAATTCATAAAGTGTGGAAGCGTGGGTGGCTGTGGGCGTGCGTGTAAATAGAACTCAGTGAATGCTTATGAATGCCTAAATAAAAGCATGAATGAATGGAAATGCTTTGTGTGCTAACTGTGAGTGCTATGTGTGTGTGTGTGTGCTAATTAGCTGAGTTAGTGCCTAGGGCTTATATAATTTGAACTAAACTCGCTAGATTCCAGAGTTCAATTTAGTTAGCTGCCGCCTTCATACATATTCAATCCAGCCAAGTCAAACACACTCTTTGGCTGAGTCATGCGCGCACGCGCCTTCGGCCTGGGCAAAGTGCGGTCTCTGCGAGACATTGACTGTGGATGACTTTGCGTATTTGCTGTTTGGCCACGGCCTGACGATCTGCTTTTTGTCGGCTTTATGACCAACTCTACACACACGCAGAGTGCGGCTCGAGACTTTCATTCACTCACAATGCGAATGACGTCGTTTGTCTAAATATAAATCGCATATTCAGTTTACGCGGTCACACTTCAAATTGCCCGAGGCTCCGAGGCGTCCATCCGCCTGGCACCATCCCAGAGTCGAATTGATTACCAAAATCGTTGCGTCTGGCCCATTAATTATAAGATATTATATAGTTGGCACTGCCAAACACCAATAAAATAATAATAAAAAAAAACCATTCATGGCTCATGCCAAGATTTGCGTTCATCATTTCGCTTGACAACGCAGCTTATTCTTCTTCTATTTTCTTCTGGCTTCTTCTTGTTCTACTTTGAATTTCGTGAATTTCACACGTTTGGCATTCCATTTATGTTAGCTGGTTTGTTATTTCGATATATGTTAATCTCTCCTCAGATTTATATTTCAAAAATCTTTTATGGCTCTTTTGCTATCGTTTTGCACTTCATTTGATTTTTACGATTGTGATTTTTGGCTTTATCGGCGCCAGTAGCCTTAACATTTATTTGATTGTTAATTGAAAGCCTTTGCGCGAGCTTTGAAGTTATTTTTGGGCTAAAGATTTCATGAATCTTTGAAACTTTTGGGCCTAACGAGTTCAGAGACGAATTTCTGGGAAATGGTGAACTGAGCGTACCATGGTTAAATGGCTTAAAGCGATATATTCGCATATATGTGACAGAATTCAATCAATTATTTCAAAATGGCAATGTATTTTTGTAATCCGAAAGCAATGCTACAGTTTATATCAGATATATTTATATAAATATAATTGTGCACATTCGAAATAAAATTATATAATATATAAAAAATAATAAAATAATATAATGTACTTTAAACAATTTTGTATTATTTTAAATAATAAAATTGCGCAATATATTAAGTAAAAAATAGTGTTTATTATATATCATATTATATTATTTTATTATTATTTTATTTATTTATTTTATAATATATTAATCATTTTTTACGTCCTCTATGTAATCTAAAATAAGAGACTAATTGATGTAAACCTTAACATATCTGTATAACTTTGCATAATATAGAAATAAACCTGGCTAGCCTTGATCTAAAACTCTTCCTACATGTAGTTTCTTAAGAAATTGTTGCAATGCGTTGTCACTTGTGCTATCTATGGCTTTGTAGCTTTGTGGTAGCAAACCCTGGGGCTAATGTGGATAGGGTATCGATGGATAAGCTCGGCTTTCACAATAACTACAATGCCATTGTGCGGGATTTAATCAAGAACTGGGAGTCACCGATCGTATATCTGCGACAGTTGGGCTATCTGCCCAATGACTATGAGGATACATCAAAGATTAAGCCGAATTTGGATGCTCTAATGAGTCGCATCGAACACGATGATCAACAGAATAACTTGCGCACAGAAGATGACAAAACCAAAGAGCAATTCTGTGCAACAAATGGTGGCAAAACGTTGCAACTAAAGATGAAAAAGAAGAAGAAGCGAAAGGCCGTGTTACAGCCAAAGAAAAGCAAACGTCGCGAACGTGACGCAACGGGCACACAGAAAGTCAACTATCCCTCCGTGGAACATCTGTTGGCCATGACGCAGAATGCGAAGCCATCAGTTGAAGCCGTGCCTCAAGTTAAGCAGTCGTTGTCACAGCCAAAGTCAGTGGAAGAGATTCATAACTCGAAGCTGCAGCTGCCTAGCCAACTGTTACAGCAGCGACAGCAGCCAGCAGTGCAGAAGCCAGTTGCCGATGCTAAAGCAAATGATAATCTCTTGCAGCGTCTCGTCAAGAAAATCAGAACGAACGCTGACCATAAGTCACTGGAGGTCCCTCAGCCAAATATCGTTCTGAAACAATCGCCAATTGAAGCCCATAACATGCTGAAGCTACTCAATGACAGTCCTGACAAGAGTGTGTCCACTTTCCTGGGCAGGAAACAATTCAATGGAGAGCTCAGCCCGACGACGAGTATGTATAGCACACTGCTTAAATCCATTGATAAATCCGCTATCCATTCAGTTCAATCTAGTCGCCCGGCTACGGCGCAATCTGAAGTCAAGATTGATACGGAAATTGAAGCACCGCAATAACTAAATTGGGATATACAAAACAAGCGGCTCAAATAGACCTCGCCCATGGCCAAGGACTCCTATGTTGATAAACTGGTGCGAATATCTTATAGAAGAAGCAAAACGAAAATATGTGATAAAACCAAAAAAAATTTGAAACATCTTTAATTCATTTACTCACTACCATTCATTTTGTCTACATATAATATATTTTTGGAAAAAAATTTTTTAATTGGTTTACCGACTGATTCATAAGCCAATTTCCAATTGCTTTTGCCTCATTCGGGCAACGGCATCATCGCAAAAATTGCTTTGAAAATTATGTTTTGTTTACGGGCAAAAAATCACAGTAGTAAATCAACTATTTACAATGTACATCTGTCTAAATATATGTTTACGATATTGTCTTCAGCGTAATTGTGCCGGACTCACGAAAAAAAATAATCATAGCCGCTCGTGTCCTAAATAAAAACTGTGCCTCAGCACACGTTAAGGAAATGCTTCGCTATCCATCTTCATTAGATTAGCGAATCTTTTTTAGCTTGAATTTGACATCATCTTTTGTTCTATAATTATACTTTTTTTTGTTAAAATAAACTATAATACTTGGTAAAATATATATAATATAAGGTGGGTGTATGCAAATTGTATTTGATGTGAGTTGAAATTCTTGGAGTTGGATTTTGTGCTGTACGTGTTAGGCGGAACAAGTTTAAGTAATATTATTAACTTTAATTTAAATTATTGTTATAGATTAATTAGCATGTGCATAAGTTAGGGTATTTATATAAGACATAACATAACTTAAAAGATAACTTATCTTATTCATTCACACAAACAGTTTGCGAAAAGAAAAAATTGATAATTTTGCTTTTATTTAAATTAAAGTTTGTAGAATGCTCGCTTCATGAGGCAGATCAAATCATATCAGCAAAATATTAATTTATTTTATTATATTTTCATTTTAAAAAATACAGGATATATAGAATATATAAATAAGATTTTTAAATAAAAAGAAAAAAATCAAACTAAAATATATTTTTTTAAATATTATTTATATAATTTATTTTTATAAATATTTGTATTTATATGTACTTTTGTTAATATATATTTATTTTTAAATATTATATTTATATATATTTTTTCGCATATATTTATTTATTTATTTTAAGAAAACACAATTTCAAACGGTGCGTAATATGCTATTTATTGTAGGTATATTAAGTTAAGTTATCTTATAAATAGATCTATTGAGCAGCAAACAAAATTTGGAGTTGACTAAAAGTTGACTAGGTTAGTTAGTATTTGTCATACCAAATATCGATGCATATATATCTGAGCTGAGTATTTATAAGGAAACTTCATTAAATTGTAAATTGGTCTAGAATTCAACTAGGAGGCGTTAGGTTACGCGCGCATTTAATAGTTTTCGATTAGTTTTTCATTTTTGTCTTTGGTATTCATATTAAGCTTTTCAATTGTGATTTTCTCGGGTGGAGGATGCCTTACGCAGAACCATGGGCGATTTGCGTGGCGATTGCAACTGCTGTTGCTGCTGTTGATAATGTTGTTGTTGTTGCTGCTGCTGCTGCTGTTGCTGTTGCTGTTGCACATTCACAAAGCCCGTCTCGTTCTCAGGCGAGGGCGAAGAACCAGCGCCCGAATTGCGACGCGATGAAGTCGGACGCACATTGGTGTCCAAGTGTCGAAAGCTGTGCAAGCATTAAGCACTCAAAGAAGAGAAGCGAAACAACTAAAGAAAACTTACCGCAACGAGCAATTGCTGCCCTTCTCCTCGTTGTTGCTGTTGAAGAGAAAAGCCAACGGCCAGGATATCCAGGAGTTGTGATCCACCGAGCTCTGAGTGCGTATTATGGGTGCACTGCCGCGACTGATCACCGGCGAGGGCAGCTCCATGGAGAGTTTCGGTGTGCCCGCCTTGTTGATAGCCGGATTATAGATCTTCGGATCACTGACCATGCGTACGAAGAAGGAACGCTTCTGTGCGAGCGTGTCCTGTTTCTTGCGATTGATGATCTCGGTGATTTCGTCGTGCTGCTCCTTCTCCAGCAGCTCGTTGGCAAAGTCGACTATGGTGTCCCAGGCGTAGTCAATGTCCTCGGCAGTAGCATTCTGTGCCACCGCACAGAATCGTATGATATAGCGCTCGTTAACGCTGGCCGGAACCATATGCAGTTTGCCCGATTCATTGATGGCGCTTAACAGTTTCTCGTTGAGCTTGTCGCCGCCCTTGAGGCGAAAGCAAACCAAGCCCAGCTGCAATTGAACAGTTGAATGAAACTCCAGTCAATAGATCTAATCGCTATTGTTGGCAGTAAACAAAAAGAATAAATATCAAATAGTTTTTGGCTTGAAATGACTTTGCGTATACGCAATGTGAACGCCTTATTACGTGATGTGACGTGCGTTTGGTCATGGAAAAAAAGGCCAATCGCATTTAGTGGCTAAGAAACGGAGGCCCTCAAGCAGCTGTCAATTGGTGCGTCATGTTTCAGTTAACATACCCTGTAGTTGGGGGTGTGCGCTTAAGGGTAGGTTGTTGCAGGTAGAGCTAGGCGTATTTTTGAATATTTTCGACTGCTAAAAATCATAAGAGGCGTCAGAGTTAAGCAATATTTTCAGACTTTCTCTGCGTTAAACTACTCGAATGTGGATTTAAAGAGGAATGTTGTAGGTAGAGTTAAGATATTTTTGTGCAATATCTGAAGTAAATATTAACTTGAGTTTATTTTTACTTTAGTTAAGATGATATCTGCATTATTATCATATATAATATATCTCCATATATAATATATTGCCATTGTTGTTAAACACAATTAATGCCTTTCATTAGATACAACTTTTATACCTAATTCTTTTTATTTTTATACCTAATGTGGTACTCTAAGGAAGATAATAGGGATAAATGCAGATATTGCTTAGTTGCAAAATTGAAGATTGGCATATTCAACAGGGTATCTGCTCGTCGAGCACATTCCTCTCTAAATATTCACACTTCTTGTTTCTGCTTCTTCTCCTTCTTCTTCTGTTTGGACTGCCTCTAAACAAAATTGTGTATGCCAATTATGCCAAAACACTTCAATTACCCGATTTTCGCAGCAGTTTCGATTGGAATTTTGGCATTTGGCGTGCAATTCCGCACGTTCGTCGTCGTCTTTAGTGAAATTTGAAATAGTTTTACAAGCTCCAAAGACAAATTTCATAATTGAATTTTAGTTAAGTCAAAGTCAATGTTATTTGCGTCAGTCGCTGGCAATATAACCAAACAATTTCCTCAACCACAACAGCAACAACTTTGATAAATGTTTAACATGCACAACAATAGCTCGCACACCCACACATCGCGATTATAAAATGTAGAGAAAAAATGTCTATATATAAATAAAACTTGCTGTGCGTAAACAAAAAGTGCTTTGAACTCGTTACATGATTAATTGCTGTATTGGGCCAAGACCATAAACTGAAATGGACAAAATGTAATTCACCTTGACTTGATTACAGATCTCGAAACGTTTATCTTTGAGCACCAGCTCCTCAAAGCGCTTGGCCAATTTGATATGATGTCGTATATAATGCTGTAGTCCGGATATGCCATAAGAGCGTAGCACAAACCTGTGAAGATTCGTAAATAATAATGGATGTAGCTAAGAGATATAGCTGTTATATAGTAGAACATAAAAGATATTGTATATGGGATGTGGAATATGGAGAGTGAGTTAGGAAGTGTATGAGGTATGAGGTATGAGGTATGAGGTATGAGGTATGAGGTATGAGGTATGAGGTATGAGGTATGAGGTATGAGGTATGAGGTATGAGGTATGAGGTATGAGGTATGAGGTATGAGGTATGAGGTATGAGGTATGAGGTATGAGGTATGAGGTATGAGGTATGAGGTATGAGGTATGAGGTATGAGGTATGAGGTATGAGGTATGAGGTATGAGGTATGAGGTATGAGGTATGAGGTATGAGGTATGAGGTATGAGGTATGAGGTATGAGGTATGAGGTATGAGGTATGATGTATGAGGTATGAGGCATGAGGTATGAGCTATGATCTATGAGGTATGAGGTATGAGCTATGAGCTATGAGCTATGATCGATCTTTGAGATGGATCTTTGATTCATATTTTCAAAAGTAGGTCATTTACACAACTTCTTAAAGTTCAGCTGCCTGAATCCCTTTCTCCAACGATCAGGTGTGATTTATTTACTTAAAGCTTACTTAGATTATAAATCATATTTCCTAGTAAAAATATTCGCTAAAATTTTTTTGAGCTTGATTTTACCTCTTAACTTGTCTATTGATTGATCAAAGAAACTCACAGCTCTATCAGTGCAAAAAAGTATTTATTTTTTGAACTACTCCATAGATTAATAGATTAAAAATGCATCTGGTGGACAAAGCAAAAAAAAAGGAAGAGAATAGACTGTCTTAATCAGCCAGGACCTGCCTAGTTTTGCAGCATGATCACTGTTGATCTCATTACCAGCATTGTATGCTTCGCCAAGTCGACATTCGATCTGCGTCACCTGCTTGTTCCTTTCCCATAACCCATATACTTCAGCTCAAATATATATTGCCAAGTCATCTGCAGCTTATTAAATAACTCCGAAATAGCTTAAGTGTTTCCTATGAAATATTCGCAATAGTCATCAAAAGCATGGCAGCAAAGTTCAGTGCATAAAAGAATACTGGTACACTAATGATTGTAGTTAGGCTTAGGTGCGTCTCTACATCATCATCATCTGCTTCTACTGACAAAAATTGTTGTTTTTATAACTAAGTCGCGAGCAAATAATAAAGGCGCATGCTTGAAGTCAAGTATGCTCGTGGCTAAGCAACAAGTTTGGCACTCCACAAAAAAGTAGAAAAAAAAAACTAAAAACATAAATAAATAAAATATTTGACAATAGTCAACAAAGTCATTTACGCCTCGGCTGTCGCCTAAAGGGTCGCTCTTTTTTGGATACATACCACAGTTTCAGTGAACGAAAGCGACGGCTGAGTGGAACTCCCCAATGACGATAGTCGATGGCCGCATCCGAGTAGCCGTGCTTGAGATACAGCGGATCGACGACGAGAGCTGATGTCAGACGGATGCGATCGCGCACCCAAAGCGTCGAGCAGTCAAAATTGGTCAGTAGCCATTTGTTGGGATTCGTGTTGAATGAGTCAGCGAATTCGATGCCCTGTTTATTAGCATACTGAACTGCTTAGACAAGCGACAATTGATTGCACGTTTACAGTGAGATATGTACCTTGAGCAGCGGCTTGAGCTCGGGGCAGATGAAACTGTTGCCCGCGTAGGCAGCGTCGACGTGCAGCCAGACGCAGGGGAACTTTTTCAGCTCGTTGCCAATTTCGGGCAAATTGTCGAATGCACAGGAGCCGGTGGTGCCCAGCGTGGTGGACACAAAGAACGGCACCAGCCCCTGCAGTTCATCCTCCTCCATGGCCTCGCCAATTGTTTGGCCACGCAGGCTGGCATTCTCGTCGGGCTCCAGAATTCGCAGCTTCACAAAGCAGATCATGGCTGCCTTTTCCACACAGCTATGCGCCTCCTTGGAGCAGTAGGCCATCAGCTTGGACAACAAGTGCCCCTCCTCGACGAACGGATGCTGTGCCTTGAGGCGCTTCAGTGCCTGAGCACGTGCCGCCAGCATTGTGACCAGCACGCACTCCGAGGCGGATGTCTATGCCATCAATGCCAAGCTATAAATTTTGTTCGCCAATAAACAAGTGTAAAGTGTTTACCTGTATAACGCCGCCGCCGGTGCTGCCCTCCTTGAGGGCCAGAAAATGATCCGGCAGCCCAATCGCCTTGCCCAGCCAATCGAGCACGATGGTCTCCAGCTCGGTGCAGGCGGGACTGGCTGCCCATGAGAAGCCAATGCAGCCGATGCCATCGCCCAGCATATCGCCCAATATCGAGGGAAACGAATTGCCCGCCGGAAAGTAGGCATGGAACCGCGGATGCTGCCAGTGTGTAACGCCTGGCATTATCTTATCCTCCACATCGTTCATAATCTGATCCCAATCCTCGGGCTCCTGTGGCGCTTCAGCTTTATATTGAAAATAGATTACGTTATTAGAAAGAGAACTGTATAGAGCTTAAAAGAATAAAAGTTGAACTTGGCTAAATGGAATAAAAAAATATAGGTTTTGGTATTAAATATTTAGAAATATTTAATACAGGAAAAATCTTTTTATAAGCTTTCGACTTTTTATCTAAATATATTTTTCTCAAAAAAATTTTGTTTTTATTTGATAAATCTTAAAATATACAACTAAATATTGTGTTTTATAAAATTTTATTTATTTAAATTAAATATTTAACTAGAAACATCATTTAAAATTTTAAAATATGTATCGAATAAATGATATTTCAGATCTATAGAAAAATTGGCGTTTTAAAATTTATTTTGTTTATTCTTTTATGCCCAAATGAAATGGAAAACAATTAAATATAATTATTTTCATATTTTTACAATAATTTTTAAGCATTTGCGAATTGCGCAATTAACAACTTTTAAATTATACTTAAATTAACATTTTTGTTCAGTGAGACTTTTAATGTATATTTATATAGAAATTATAAATATATATATTTATATATATGCCCACTTACTTGGCAACAGATGCCTTAAATATCCGGGCTCCACGCTGGGCGTAACACGCCGTTCACCCAAGGTTTCCAGATAATTGCAAATGTACTCGACCATTTCCATGCCACGTTTTCGAAATTCGGTGCTATCCATCTTTGTTCCGTCTTACTTCTCTATATAATTGTGATATATATATTTGTTTATATGTTCTTTTTCTGTCTGTGATATTTTGAGTGAGTCGACTTGTAAGCGTGTTGTAAAATTAGAAAAACAAAATGTGGAAATTTTATTTGAAAATATTATTTCAATATTATATATTTATCGACATTGTCAAAAAATTTGTTTTAAAGATTTCATAACTTGATGTATATATCTACATTTTATTTTTGTAGATATATAGATTTTTTCTTTAGTTTTAATTGTTATATTCTTATTCGTTGTTTTATAAAATTATATAAAAACATGCAAATGTCAATAGGAAGCTTTGTTTTTTGACGAAAAACATTTTTTTATTAATTCATTATTTTTTTTTAATTTATTATAATTATTATTTATTTAGATTTAGATATTTGGCAATATATATATTTTTAAATTGTTTTAGAATTTTTTGTTCTATTATTTTCTATTAATATATTTAAATCTCTAAACGATTTGTTAATTTTTGTAATGTCGCACTTAGATATTTTGTTTTTCGCTTATTTTTGGAAAATACTTATATATTTCCCTAGCAACATTTAACATTTTGTTTATTTATTTTTGTTAGCTTTGGCCTTAGACAGTTAGTTAATTAATTTAGTTGGCTTTTTATTTGTGCTTAATGCTGTTGTCGGCTGTTCAAAATTGTTGTTTTCTTTAATGAGTTGTGTTTTATTAACATTGTAGTGGCACTAACAAATTGCCACCTTTAATTAGTGTGTGTGGGCGTGTTTGTTTACAATTAAAATTGGTTCTGAATTAAGTTTATTCCAAATGGTTTTGCACACATTTAACAATTGTCGATTGCTTGCACTATTTTATTTTTTAATGGACCATTAATATGTATGCCTGTTGCCACTGCCACTGACACTGCCACTTACTGCTTGCAGAAGTCGTTTTTGGCCGCGTGTATCAACCGTTGGCCACGGCTTGCAAACCTCAAATGATCCTGGCTCTGCGGTTTGGCCAGGAGCTAAGCTCGGTTCCGCTGCCTGTTGGCATGTCTTATGAATGCAGAGGGGTGTCAAGTGGGCAGTAGGTCGACTCGACCCCTAAACTGTGCTGCGTATTAGGGTTGGGTTGCAAATAAATGAAATATTTGCGCTGCACAGTGGATGCTGTGCAAAATAAAAGTGACAGAAAAAGGCAAATAAAAATTGAATATAATAAAAAAAAACTGAATAAAGAGAAAATAAATAAAAAAAACTGAAATAGAGAAAAATAAATTAATCATTTATCTATAACAAAAATTTAATATAAAATAACAAAATTTATTTCTTGACTTTTATTGAATATTTATTTTCAATATTCAATTTCTTAAATTTATCAAAAAGATTTTTTTTTTAAATCTCTACTATATTTCACTTATATTCTGTTCCCACGTTTTGATCTCTATTAAACTTTTAGAATAATAAAAGTTAAGGATATAATTCATGGCTAACACGCTGTATTGTATGTGTGTAAGTGTACGTGTGCGTATGTATGTGTATGTGAGTGTGCGTGCAAATATGCAGCAGCGCAACGTCTAAATCTAATTTAAAGCCTTTTGAAGTAATTTACGAATTTAACTTAATTTATATAATGTTAATTCAAAGTACGTGCTTATTTTATTGTCAACAGACAAGTCTCACACACACATACAGAGACTATTTATATATAGATGTTTTGCAGCAAGCCTCCTCAATTACAAACAGTTTGTCCTTTTGCCTTATGCGCTACGCTCGTTTTGTTAATAACTTCCGCACAAAATAGAAATACACTGCTTAACACCAGAAATGTTACGCAGCAATATGATAATTTGATAAAAAATATAATTATATTAATATTAAAATATAATATCTTATTGATATATATATTTATGTATATTTTATATTTATTTATTATATGTTTATGTATATTTATTTAAGCATATTACATTATATTTATATTTATAAATATTTCTTGCTTTTCATTACATTTTACTATTATTTTACTATTATTTTATTATTATTTTAAAAATTACTATTTACTTTTTTTATAATTTGTGTTGGAATCATTGTATTTTTATATTTTTATTTATTTGTTTTTATTTTTATTTAATTGTAACAAATGTAAGTTTTTAAAATTATTTTTACTTTTTTAATTTCATTTTTTTTGTCAATTTTTTGTTTTTGTTTTTATTATTTTATGTATTCTATTTTGTGTTTTTAAATATTTATACTGAAATTCTGTTGCACAGTGTTATATTTGTGTATAATGTGCTTTATGAGAATGGCGTTGATAATATGATGATAATGCTGCTGCCAGTTGAGTTCATAATAATAATCATGATAATGATGATAACGATGACGTTCTCAATGAGACAGTCAGAGCAGTGCCTGTCATCTGGTATTTCGCAGGCATTCCTCGTAACATTCCAAAGCCAGCTTCCCACTCGCTTTTATTTTATTTCATTTTTTCTCTTTTCTCTTCCTATTTCTGCTGCATTGAACCCAAGAATAGTCTGCGTTTTCATCTTGCTGTAGGACATACGTTAATTGTGTGTGTGAGTGAGTGCGTGGGTGTTTGATTGGGTCATGAGATGCCACCCACAGCCCCACGCACAGTTTTGTGAAAAGTTCATTAATAAACTTTCGTTTGCTGCTGTCGAATTCAGAGAGCTCTCTGCATTCACGTTCCCATTTCCAATTCCCTTGCCCCATTTATTCTGCCTTCAACTAAATGTTGTTTAGCCTCAACAAGTGGCATGCTCCTTGTGTGTGTTAGTGTGTGCGGGCTTGCTCTCGTTCTGCTCCTGTGTTGGTTGTCATCCTTGTTGTCTAGAGCCCGACACCAACAGAATTTTATTTAATGGGAAATTTCTGCTGCAGCCGCGCGCATTTAATTGCTGTAGAAATGCTTTTTTATTGACTTTTACTTGAACTCCTCTTCATGCGGCATGCCCAAACGCGCTACAGCGCGGCTCAGTTGCTAAGGTTTGAATTAAGATTTTGGCCTAAATGGTAATAGATTTATTGGATAACACAATTTAATAAATTGATTGATTAATTGACTTATGTAAAGTAAATTTGAAATGGCAGGAAACTTCAATAAGTCTTCTCCTTTCTATGGTGTTTTAGCTTTACAGTTTTTAAGTTAAAGATCTTGATTTGAAATATATATAAAAATAGCAATAGGACCCTCTGCAAGTATTAAGTTATTGGCAAAAATTCTGGTATAATGTTTTCTTTAAAGATTCTATCAAGCTTGAATATAATTTATTCCTTAGCTATTTATAATTATTTTGCATATTTAAATAAATTTTTGTAAATATTTATTCAGTGAACACTGACTAAATCTCAAGTAGAGCCAACACAGTTCGCCTAGGCCGCACCTGTTGCTTGTTTGGCGTGGGTTTTTTTAGCGCTTGGCTTTGCTCGAGCCGCTAGCGTCTCATAAAGCAATTATGCAATTTGCACAGACTGTCGTGACAATAACTGCGCAGGACAGTTTATGAGTGGATGGATGAGCTCTCAGGCATCCTAGCAGCAGCGGAAAAGCTGTTATTATTATGCTTGATTCTGGTTCAAGGTTGCTGCCGTAGGCTCCTATATACTAGAAATTCGTATACTAATCCAGTTGTTTAGCTAATCGCTTTCATTTAATGCCTATAGGTTCGGCAAAATGATGCACTATCGCAAGGCCGAGAATGTGGAGCAGGAGCTGAGCAAAAATGATTTACCTTTTGAGAATTGCATGCCAAAGGCGCACAAGGATTTTCTCTGGATGCACGTAAGTGATTCAAGGTGTTGTTGTACTCTTTCTGAACGATTATTTTCAAATCCATTCAACAGGTCAAGGGCGGCACCAAGGTGAGCAATGTGATTGGCTATGCACAGTCGGCGCTGGATAAGGGCGAGTACCGTAGCCTTGTGTGGAGCGGTTCTGGTGGCGGCGTTGTTAAGACCATATCCTGCGCCGAGGTGCTCAAGCGTAGCCATCCGCTGTACCAGGTCACGCGCATGGCCTATACAAGGTAAACTGTTAGACTATAGTTAACTGAGCCTTGTCTAATATATATCATTTTTTTTTTGCAGCGTGGAGGAGCACTGGAAACCACAAATGGATGGCCTCGAGGAGATCGTTGTCAACCGCAAAATACCCACATTACACATACTCATGAGCCTGGACGAACTGCCCGATAGTATAGATGGGTTCGTGCTGGCTACAATTGTAATTTTGATTGTTTCTTATTGGTTTTTCTTTACAGATTACAGAAGCCCAACACAACTAGCGATTTCTGGCAGCACGATGAGCCGCCTGCCCCTAGACCAGCGCCTGCTCATAGATCAGCGCCTGTCAATAGACCTGCCGATGCAAATAGATCAACGCCTGCAAGAGGCACAAATAAACGACAAAGGTTTGGACGCAACAAATCACAGCAGCAGCAGCAAACGCAACACAATCAGCAAAGTCAGAGCAAGTCTGCAACCGAGAGTGCAGCTAGCGAACATTCTTAATTTTATTTTTAAATTAGCTTTGGTTTAAATAAATAATAATTAAGCTACTAAGTGAAGCGTTTTCTATGAGGATTGGCAGTCTTCTAAATATTAATATAGATGATAAACATATATCATGAGCGTTTTTCAGCATATTTAAATTTTTGAAAATTAATTTTCTAAACATTGCGAGTCGTGATACGTTCATAGTCATTGCAGCCTTATACAAATTCTATAGCATACTTTTAAGCTGCACAATTAAATCCATTAGGCGCAGCCCTTTAACATGAGCAGCAGCTGTCGCTTTACGGGCGCTTTAACAGTCTGTTAGCAGCCAAGCACTTAACATTTTCGCTGCGCCTTATGGATATGCAATAAAAATTTTACACAAGGATCTTTTATTTAAACTTACCCTTGCCAGTTAGTTTTGGTCTTTTTTATTATATTTTTAGAGTATATTATGTTTATAGAATATAAAGATAAGAGCCGTATTTAAAAAGTCGGGGCTATTCAAAAACATGTGAAAGCTTTTACTAAAATATATTTAAAAATAAAAGTAAAATATCTGATAAATAGATTTTTAGCCTCAACGCCCTGATGAGTGGCCAGATTATCAGCAAGTCGCGTACGCCCCGCGTATTACAGCGCATCCTAAAATCAACAATGTCACACGATTACACTTTTATAATATTTGTGTAGATAGACTTAATCGTAGCATTGTTAAGCCACTATCATTTATTTACTTGAGTTGATAAGCGTCGAGAAATCTAATCGGTGCTCGTGAATTGATTGCCATGGCACTCAATTGGCAAGACGTCGCAGTGTTGTTGCAAAAATGATTCGGTTGGGACGTGTTTTGCGAACGGCTGCAGTGCAGCATCAGTTGCGGTCGCTTAGCGGAAAGCAGGCACCTGCAGCTGGCGGGGATTCGATGCCCAAACAATGTGATGTTCTGATCATTGGAGGCGGCGGCATGGGCGCCTCCTCGGCCTACTGGCTCAAGAAGAGAGCAGAGCAAAAGAAACTGAGCGTGCTGGTTGTGGAGCGAGATTCAGGCGTAAGTTGCGTCCAAAAACGCTAAAGACCACACACTAAGGTGTGCTTTCTCCCACAGTACACGACTGCATCGACTGTGCTGTCAGTGGGCGGCGTGCGGCAACAGTTCTCGCTGGCGGAGAACATAAATATGTCGCTGTTTGGTTACGATTTCATATCCGACTGCCGCAGTCATTTGGGCGATGTGGAGTTGAACTTTCAGCCACATGGATATCTGATCTTGGCCAGCGCGAATGGCGCCGAAATTCTCAGTCGCAACTCTAAGCTGCAGAATGAACTGGGCGCCTGCAATGAGCTGCTTGGTCCGGCTGCGTTGCGCAGTCGCTTTCCCTGGCTCAGCACACAGGACGTCGAGCTGGGCTGCTACGGTCTCAACAAAGAGGGCTGGTTTGATCCTTGGGCCTTGCTAATGGGCTTCAAGAAGCAGGCACGCGCCTATGGTGCTCAGTTTGCCAATGGAGAGGTGACGGGCTTTGAGTACAATTCAGCTGGTCAGCTCTCTGCTGCTGTGGTGACCTCTGCCGATGATAGCAAACACACTGTGAAGTTCGACAATTGCGTCCTGGCTGCGGGCGCACACTCTGGGCATGTGGCACGTCTGGCCAACATTGGCACTGGCAAGGGGCTGCTGAGCGTTCCGTTGCCCGTGGAGCCACGCAAGCGTTATGTCTACGTCTTCAATACGCAGGGATGCAATTGTCCGGGCATAGCCACGCCTATGACCGTCGATCCCGATGGCACGTACTTCCGACGCGATGGCCTCGGGGAAAATTTTCTGTGCGGTCGCAGTCCGGCGGATAATGAGGAGCCCAACTGTGATACGCTCGACGTTGACCATGGCTACTTTGAGTCCGATGTTTGGCCCACACTGGCCAGCCGTGTGCCCGCCTTCGAATCGGTCAAGGTGCAGAGCAGCTGGGCCGGCTACTACGATCACAATTGCTTCGATGCCAATGGCATCATTGGACGGCATCCGCACTACAGGAATCTGTACATCGCTGCTGGCTTCAGTGGCCATGGCATACAGCAGACGCCAGCGGTGGGTCGGGCCATTGCCGAACTTATATTAGACGGAAAGTATGGAACACTTGATCTCAGTCGATTGGGCTTTGAGCGTCTGGTGGCCCAGCAGCGCATGCTGGAGGCGAACATTGTCTAGAAACTGGAATATGTAAATAAATAATTAGTTTCTTGTTTCGATTTATTGTAATTGTTCGGCTTTCTTTTTTCTTTTCTTTTGTATTTTTTTTTTTGTTTTTCTGGTTTTTGTTTATAGTTTATGATAGTAAACTTCACTTAATAGTTTTTGTTACAACTGCTTTTCCGTTTCATTAAGAGGGCTTTTCGTTTGCTTGGGAAAAAGGAAAAATCTATTGTGCCTAATGGGTGTGAGTGTGTCTACGTATAATTTATTTAAAATAAAAATTTAATCATATATATAATCATTAAACGATTACGGAATCAAGTGACGCATCGTTCGATTTGTAGTTGCCATGTTTAAACTATTTTGCGGTTGTTAATAATTATATAGATTTTTATATATTTGTCGTTCGAACTACATACACAAGAATTTGCAAAATAAATTTTGTTTTGTTTTGTTTTTCTTTCTGTCTCTTAAATATGCCGCTCAATTCGAATTTCCATTTGTTTTGTTTTCTGTTTCTGGTCGCTCGGGTTGTGAACCAAAAAACATAATAATGCGTTTATCTCGAATCTAATGCAAGCTATTAGTAAATATATATATATATATTATAAATATGTTTAAGTGAGTTGTGAGTTGTGTGTATGTATGAATGATTGCGTTTTTTGTTTGTCAATCATTGTTAATGCTTTATGCTTTTTGTGTGTTTGTTGTTATTGGTGTTCCTATTATTATTGTTGTTGTGTTTGTTTGTTTTTGTTGTTGTTGTGTTTGTTATTGTTGCTGTTGTTGCTATTGTTGTTTCTTTAGGCTTCACTTTCGCCGGGTGCCGCATTCTCCTCCTCGTTAATGGGCACAATTAAATTCTCCTTGGACATGAGATTGTATTTTGTGACAAAATGTGTAAATCGGTGGCATAAATACGTCTCAGCCTCAAATTCGTCAAAGATGCGACGATGATGAAAATATGCATGCGAAAATATGCGGTAGACACGTCGACACACCGATCCCAGCTTCGTCACCGACGACTCCTTGATCGAAACTCTGTGATTAAGCGTAACACTTCACTCATTATGTGGCTTAGTTGCTTTAAGCAAATCAACAAACATACCTGCTTGGAAAGTATTTGTTGCTATTGAGCAGACAAGCAGCACCGTCCAGTGTGTGACGTGTATAATCGATCGCAGGGCACTCTTTGGGCGTTTTGTGTGCCGCACACAAGAATATCCATTGATCGGTGGCCGTCATCTGTGTGCACGTCGAGGGTGAGCATTGTTTTTGCAATCTCACGGCCAGCCCATTCAATTCCATGCAAAATTGCCGCAAATGCTCATATTTCCAGACGCCCTCATCCTGCGCCTCTGGCATGGTCAATATTAGCTCCACATTTGAGGGATCACGCTTTATCATCTGCTGTATGTATTGCTGCACAGCCAGTGTGCTGTCCATTTCCTCAAGCGGTTCATCGGGCCAACGACAGAAATCCTGTTTAACAGGGGAAAGTTATACTAGATTAAAGAGCTATTCAATTAATTTTTCTTTATGACTTACCTTGGATTTTGTGCCTGGTCGGTTCCTACGCAATATTGTCGAGCCGTCAGCCATCTTCATGTTTCACCTTGCCTCGGCCGGAAGGAAGGAACAAAACAACACACACTCACACACACACACACAGATACGGGCAGTAAGACTTTTGCTGCCCAGCAGTTGTGTAGACAACGAAAGCTGTGTAAAATATGGGAGAGCCAAACGCTCTACAAGTCGCAGGCGTTGTGTTTGTGGCTAGCCAAATGCAGCAATTAGTTTAAACAATGTACGTTAGTTATTATTTTCGTTTACACATTTCACATTAAATTAATTATAAATTGAGCTACAATACTTCGCTTTGTGCGAGAAAATTTCTGACAAAACTGCGACATACATACATATAGGGCTGGGTTATCGATATCGGTTTTTAGTCTGCTGCAGCCTGTTGGGCTCATTGGCAACTCTGCATTCACAATTCTCTGTAGCCCTGGCTACATATTATCGTTATCGTTAATCAGCACCAGTCGTCATCATCAGTCAGCTTGCAAAACTATTCGGATTGGAATTGCGTATTATTGCTATTAACTGCGTTCATAATTATTTAAGAAGTACATACTAGAATTTATAAACTAACTAATTGCAAACATGTCCTACGCGTATTTGTTCAAATATATTATCATTGGCGACACTGGTGAGTGCTGATCGAATACCATACGAAAGTGTCTGTGAAAATTTATAGAGCGAAAATTGTGTAGTCACAACAACAAAACAAAGGCAGCAAAAAACGCCAAACTGCGTAGTGTTTGCAACAGAGTGCTTGCCCTTTGGCTGCAGTTCAAGCCTGAGTCAAGTGCAGCGAGCAGCTGCAATGCAGCCCACGATAGCCCACGCAGCAAGGAAAAATCAATAAAACCATAACAACGCCTCGGCGTAGAAAGGCGCGGGCGTTACTCCACACTGTTGAAGTTAACAGTTGCCTTACTGTGTATATACGCCAGGGGGAGCAGTCGTATGTTAGCGACCTGCTGTTGCCTGCTGAGTCAACCGTTGCTCGACCCATCTAAACCAACAACCCCAAATCGCTCGCAAACTTCTGCTTGGACGAATTTTAGCGTGACTTTTGCTGTTTTGCAGTTTGCAGAAGACTGCACCAAATATCTATTTCATTACACTCTGCCTTGCTTATCAGCACTGTCCATATGTATATACAAATACATATATACATACACACAGACAACGTTTTTGATTTACATTTATTAAACAGCTGTTGATTTCTTACATGAGCTTACAAATTTCCTTCATGCTGTTATCTACCATTTTTTTCCAATAAGGAATTTTACCAGATTTTTTTTGCTCTCGATTAAACGGTTTTTGTTTTAATTTTTGAGAAAACTGATTAATGGTGACGAGTCTTAAATAATATTAACAACATATGGTATTGCTATGATATCATTTTATAGTTGCGATATTAAAAATAATTTTCAGACCAGGGAATTACAAATTCTATTAGATGATGTTTGTCTAGATAAACAGTTTTTTGTGTTATTTAAATCACAATAACGAGCGTTTCTCTGCCATGGTATATATTCATATATATGTATTGAGAGATGTTTATAGGAGAGAGTGCAAATATGTTCCACAGTCAGAAACTTTTATCGACAACTCCCCCATGCTCCATAATTCACAAATACTGCTGCAGCTACTGGGAAAATCTTAAATTCTGATTTTAACAAATTTTAATTAAATTTCAGTCAATGCATATGAAGCCTATTCCACATAAAAATATATATTTAATATACAAAAATCTTATAAAAATCTTATACAACATTTGTCAAGATATATAGTATAGATATCAGATTTCCTCAGCTATTTTGAGCTCTTTTTTTTTAAGTGGAATAATTTTAATGGTCTGTCTGGCTGGCTTTACTTTTGTGAAAGAAAAAACTTTCACTTAACGTTTAAGATTGTATAAACAGCTAATTACTAAATGCGTTTTTGGTTTTGTTGTACGTTTTTTTAGGCGTTGGCAAATCATGTCTGCTGCTGCAGTTCACGGACAAGCGCTTCCAGCCGGTGCATGATCTGACAATTGGTGTGGAGTTTGGTGCACGCATGATCACCATCGATGGCAAACAAATTAAATTGCAAATCTGGGATACAGCAGGCCAGGAGGCGTTCAGGTGCGTTAATAAGAAAGCAGAAAGTTTCCTCAATATACAATTGTTTGCCATTGTTTGTAAATTAGATCTATAACACGATCGTATTATCGTGGAGCAGCAGGCGCTTTGCTTGTCTACGACATCACAAGGCGAGAGACCTTTAATCATTTGACCACATGGCTGGAGGATGCGCGTCAGCACTCAAACTCAAATATGGTCATCATGCTGATTGGCAACAAGAGCGATCTGGATTCGAGGCGTGAAGTGAAAAAGGAGGAGGGCGAGGCATTCGCACGCGAACACGGCCTAGTCTTTATGGAGACATCGGCACGCACAGCGGCCAACGTGGAGGAGGCCTTCATAAATACAGCCAAAGAGATTTACGAGAAGATACAGGAGGGTGTATTCGACATAAACAATGAGGTATGAAATGGTGGATTAAAGCGTTCATAAATAAGATGATTAATTGCTCTTTCAATTATTTCAAGGCAAATGGCATTAAAATCGGGCAACAGGCAACGCCCACAAATCCAGCGCTACCCGGCGCCGGCGGTGCGGGTGGTGCAGTCAATAGTGGTTGCTGCTAGGAATAAAGTAATCTTTTTTGCCGTTGCCTGCACTTGGGATAGCCGTAGCCGATAGCTGATAGCCGCTTCTGTAAAAGCTACTAGTGACTAACTCTTAGAAGGTAGTGGATGCAGACCGATCTATTGTTTTCATTTTTTTATTCAAGTAAAAGAATACCCGTAAAAATAAACTTAGCTGCAAAGAAATAGTAAACCGCAAAACTAGTGAAACGACTTCGACACTAAGCGTAATGTTAAACAGAAAAACTAAAATAATCGCTGAAAATGGAATAGCAAAAAAAAAACTAATCATAAATGAATGCATCATTAAATTCAATTTTAAATAAACTACAGATTAACAAATGTATATGTAAAATGTGTCGTGCGTGATTTCTAAATTTTGTAAACTTTAAACATACGTATATATGAAACAAAACAAAAAAAAAAACAAAAACATATTTTTGTGTACATTTAGTTAGTTCGCTAGTTACATTTTGGCTGAGCAGTAATTGATGAATGACATGTAAAATATATATACATATATATATTCTATATAAACATACTATATGTGAATTTGTCTCATTGTGATTCGTTTATCTACCCCTCGTTTCTCTCCCCCTCTGTGGTGGCTGCTTTTCTTCTACTGCATTATACAACATTTATGTGTTTCTGACTTGTTAATATATATTTTGTCGCATTTGATTTGTTTTTGTGTGATTTGCATAACAATTAACGATATATAAATATAAAAGGAAAACACAGACATGCATCAAAAGAATGAAATAAATATTATATAAGTTTAATACATAATTATTATACAAGCAAAAAAGAAAACACAAAAACAAATCGATTACGTCGCCGACAATTACGAAGTTTATATATATTTAAAATTAAAAAAGAAAACCGAAAGAAAAGATTAAACAAACAAACCAGAAATAAAATCAAATTATTTATAAATATTTGTATTTGCCAGACCCAAAGCAGTATAATATTAATATATACACAATAAATATTACAAAATACAAGCCAAAAGTTGTTGTTCTATGAAGGGAGATTAATGAAAACAATCCACATACTTTTTCTTCTTTCAAAATTATTATTTTATTGTTTGCTGAATAATATTTTTAAAATATAAGGTATATATATATATCGATTTATGTTTAGTTAATTGATGTTTGTAAACAGTTTAGAATTGCATTTTAATTTTATATAGTTTTATTTGCTAAATATTGTGCTTAGGTCTACAAAAAATTATTTTTACATTTTTTTTTTTTTGGAAACAACTACAGCTGCATGTAGAAGTTGTAATTAGGCGTTAGTTAATTTGGTTTTAAACTAAATTGAAATGTGCTTTATTTTATATATTTATAGTCATTTTTATATATATAATTCTAGTTGCTTTTTGGGCATAGGCTAAATTGTTCTCAGTGCGCTACGTGTATCTCTCAATTGATTTATATTTTTAATAATACTTGAACTGTTACGGTTTTGTTTCTTTTTCTTTAATGATGAAAATGTTTAAAAACGGCTTGCATATCAATTGCAATTCGGGTGTTAAACTTGTATTTCAACATTATTTTATTTTCACAAGTCTGACTATTGTTAATTTCTATATGCTTGAAGACTTTCGCTTAGATTGTTTGAAAAATTGTCTTTGAATTTATTGTATACGTTACATAGATTGGTTTAGTCAATGTATATCATTTGGTTGTTCTTGCAAAATTGAGGCATTTATAAGATTAAGATATATTTGCTTTTGAATTTTTATAACGTTTATTTCTAACTATTATTCGCGTTTATAAAGAAGACAATATGGGGAACCCGTTTTGCGCATGGCAGTGATGCACTGCAATTGATATTGAATTTCTCTCGATCTCTTTTTAGTATATATTGTTGTTGTTTTTATTAGTGTGGTATTGGAGTATACGTACAATGTAGTTGTCCTAGTGCTTTATTTAACTAATATAGTTGTTTTAATAATTAGTTTTCAAGTCAAAGTTTTTTTTTTTTTTTTTTTTTTTTTTTTTGCTTCAATACAATTAATTATTTATCTACTAATTCGCTCTGAGTTTTGTTTTGTTTTTTAGCTGCAACAGCATTTGACATAAGAAACTTGATAACATTTAATGCTAGTCCATTAATTTTTGTTTTCTCTTGTGTTTTTTAGGCCGCAGTGCTGCTTAATTGCACTGAAGTTTGTCAATTTTAGTACCTTGAATTATATATATATATTTCTTTTTATCCTACTGACATTGTGTGTGTATGTGTGAGTGTTCATATAAGTAATCTAATGTAAAAGTTGAGCTTTTTTAGTCTCTGAGACATCACTATCACTCTCCTTAGTTGTTTTCTCCTGACAGAACTCAATCATATACGAACAGACGCCGGAGAGTGCTATAAATATGCCCGCATAGTAGAAGGAGTCGTCCCATCTGTTGGCAACGCATAATGAATCATTAATCTTAAAAATGATTGGGAATTTGTGTAACTACATACCTGCCCGTATACTCATAAATGGCACCTGCTATGGGCGGGCCGGCAATCATGCCAACGCCCTGGACCAACAGCACCAAACCGTAGGCACAAGTGAAATCATCCAAATCAACCAGACTGACCAAGATGCTGGGCGTAAACGAAAACGAACTGGCAAAAGTGAATCCAAATATTACACACATAGTCATCAGTCCATTGTAGCTGGTGATAAGCATGGGCATAAAAAATACCGAAGCACCACAAACTGTAAAACAAGAATTGGAAATGTTAATCCAGAGTTCTGAAGTTCTTATATAATAGACAATTACTTTTAGATATCTACCAAAGACAATGAATCAATATCAATAAAAATTTGGTTTTTGCTTTTGATTAATCTTTTGCATTTGTGAAAATCACATAGAAAGGCGAATTAATATGTAAATGAAAATCGCATAGAAAGCTAAAAATGGTTACCAGCTGCTTTTACTTTTAAATAATGCTTCTCTAACCCCCTCATAATAAATCCCCATATCTTGTAGCTGCGATAAGAACTTACCCAACATGCATATTGAATAGCACACATTGATGTTCATCCAGGGCAGATCGCCCAGGTAGCCGAGGCCAATCATGCCCACAGTTTGCGCAATGCCAATTGCTGATATGAGCACAGCGCTAACACTCACTTCATAGTTGTAATTCTTCATGTAATCGGGCAGATAAAGATAGGGTATGATAAACCTGTAAAAAGTATTATGTTATTGACATTGCATGGAGTGAAGATAATGACAGTTTTTGTTGAGTTTGCGGTTATTTGCGTTACAAATTGACAACATGACTGTGTGATACCCTGTAACAAGTTGATTAGCTAATTGACTTGATGTGCGTGACAGTTTATTATTTTATTAAAAGATTAGAATGATATGATGTCAGACAGTTTGCTTGGAGTTAATATATAAATAGTTGACAAGCTGATACCCTGTAGTAAATATATATATATAGTTGTTAATAAACAAATGAACGTTAATCTTCTAAGCAATCAGTACAAGTTGTAGTTGTTTTGAATTATGCATTGGCCAATGCTTGAGTACCCCTATGTGCGCATCAAGGGGTTCATAATTTCATTATAATAGACGATATTTTGAGCATTTGCCAAAATTTGTTTGCGACATTTGTACTTGGGCAGTTTTTCGACTCGTTATGGTCGTTGCTATTTCAAACATATATAAATATATTTTTGCCTACAGATACAGATTTTGAGTTGCGCAGATTGAGACCTTCGGATTATGAACGATCTCTCATTCTGTGTACTTACCAGATGAACAAAAACAATGTCGATAGATTGAAGAGCGCAAACTTTTTATCCAAGAAGAGCGAGAAATCAAACACCGATTTCATAGTGTCCACAAAACTCTCATACCAGGTCTACAAATAGAGAGTGAGAGGGAGAGGGAGATAACAAAAAATACAATACATTATTATTGCCGTGCAGAAAATTAGGCAATACGGAAACGAAATGCTGTCTGAATGGCCGCTTATCAGTAGCACGCTTAGCTCGGTCAGTATATACATATATTGATATGTTTTCAAATATATATATTATACATAAGCTTATTTATTTTTATATTCATAGAACCTCGATAATCGCGCCTTGAGCTGAATACAGAGCGAATGGTTGTCAAGCGACCCAGCATGATTTGGACTTGGACTCCAAGTCGCCTGATAACTGCACAGAGCGAGTTAAAAACTGACTAAGAATTGATCTATAACTAAATAGAATACTTAATCTGTGTAATATAATATATATATATGAGTTCAAATGAGGCCAAATAGCACGCAAATATATTTACTATATTTGCTTAAAAAAGGCATTCAGTATATTAAATAATATTTTATTCAGCTAAAGAAAACTTTCTATCATAAGTGTTAAACAAGATTATTATAACAATATATTTTATATAGATTAATGAATATTAGAAAAACATACGGTAAGAACAAAGCAAATAATTGAAACGATTTTGAAGTCTATGAGCTCTATTTAGTTATATTATTTTGGTTTTATAAGTTCGCTATATTTCCACTTTCTTTGGTTCCATTTCCATTTAAATATTCCAAAGAAATATTATAAAATATTTCTGCATTAAAAAACTTTCAGTTCTCACACAATATTATGTTATTATTATGATAAATAAATTTTCAAAATTCATTTTAATTTTGTCTATATATTCTATTCTTTCTATATATTCTTTTGTCTTCAAGTGAAGCTCGAAAATTTTTAAGCTAAATTAAAATACTTCCAATTCAGATCTTTTCGCCTCCTAAGTTCTCTATAATCTAAGTCTCTTTACTCACATCTTCTTCCTCCTTGGCAATGGTGGTCATTGAGTTGCGATAGATGTTGGGGCAGGAGGAGGCACGCAGACGATATCGATGCGTATTGAGCATGGCGCCGCGATAATGTATGGAGTTGCGATGTATGCGCATATCCTTCAAGAAATTGGAATTCCTAATGGAGATGTTGCGACGCAGATTCGAGCGATGCGGATTGGGTTTCTTGGAGCGCGATAGACGGCGTATGCCCGTAATACTGTCCAGACGTGAACGGCGCAAGGCCAGCTCGCTGTTATCCTGTTCGTGTTCGGGTATGGCAATCACAGTGGACGCACCGGCACCAGCGGCGAACGGTCGATGCCTCGGCTGTTGGTCGAGCAGTGCGAAGGTCTCCTCCTTGATGGACATGTAATAGGTGTGCATATCGTCGCTTAGTATATCCACCGAGTTGTGTCGCTGCTCATTGACCTTCAAATTGGACAACGAAGCCGAATTGTGTTTGGCCATGAAGAGATTTTCATTTAGGGAGTACCGCGAGCTGGCATAATGCGCTTCGTTGTGCTTCTGGGTGAGATAGCCCTCGTCCGAGGAGCGCAGCGAGCCAATGGGTGTGCCCGCCACCGTGGAGCGTTTCTCCGATGGCGACAGCGTTTCAATCGACGCCAAATAGCTCTTCTTGGCCGCCTCTGCCACCTCAGCCGGTATGCCGCCCATGAGCGTATCGTCCGGTGAGCCGAGAATATTCGCCGTGGGTCCATTGGCAGCGGCTCCTGACGACATGGAGAGGAGATTTTCACGCGATGGCGCCTCGGCGCCTTCCTTGTGCCGCAGCGAACGACGACTCAAGCTCTTCACCTCGCAAATGCTGTCCAGTTCCTGAATGCTGAGAAATGTGGGCAAAAAGAGTTCGCTGCGATATCGCTTGAGGCTTGTGTCGAGCGGATCATCGATTTGCTGATTGGCCTCGGTGTTGTTCTTGGTGACCAGCGTGTCCAGCACGGCCTCCTTGGTGATGCCAGTGTCCAGCAGCTTCTTAATCTCCTCCAGACAAACGCTCGAATTGGAAAATGTGGTTACACTCTGAGAACGACTCTCCAGCCGATTCTCCTCGATCAGCCAGTCTGGATCGCGCATCAGAGCGCCGCACACACACGCGTTGAGCATGGTGCCACCTAGAATAAGTGTCGCTCCGCGCCAGCCATACGAATCCACAAGGTACTGGGTGAGGCGGGCATAAATGAATGTGCCAATGCCCGTGCCGGAGGCGCCGATGCCTGTGGCAAAGCTGCGCTTCTTGTCGAACCAAAAGGCAATCGATACCACCGCCGTCACATAGCCAATGCCCAAGCCCAGGCCGCTAATAATGCCAAAAGTGATCATCAGCATTTCAATGGAGTTGCAGACGGAGGAGACGGCAAAGCCCAAAGCGGAGACAACTCCACCAAGAATGGTCATCTTGCGGCAACCATATTTGTCCACCAGATTCGACCAGATGGGTCCCATGAGCAGCGGCACCGAGAAGAACAAGGAACTGATCCAAGCCGTCTTCGTTGGCGACTCTCCAAAGTAGGCCAACAGTTCCGTATGGATCAGACCAAACGAGAAGGATAACCCATCCCAAATGAGCGATATCATCAGCGAGGCAAAGACCACAACCCAACCATAGCCGCCGTCTGGCATTTTGGGTGTCTTCTTTTCGGTGCTGCTCGAGTCAATGGAGTCTCCCGATTCATTCGATATCAGACGCTTGCGCTTCTTCACCTGAGTGCCGGTCATCAGACTGGTCAAGGTGCCATCGCCATCCACAGCAATGATGCTATTCCTCACCATGCGACTATGGCCGGCGCCATCGTTGAGCTCCTCCACGGATAGATTGCAGAATGTTACCTCCGGGAATAGGTCGTGCTTGATGGCCTTGTTCAGCGGCGTGTTGGCTGGAGCGGGTAGAGTTGGTTGGCAAATGCTGCCATTCAATTTACTGCTACTATTATTGATATTATTATTGTTATTATTATTATTATTGTTAAAGGCAGCCGCATTTGTGCTGCTGATGTTGTTGCTGCCGCCATCGCTGCGTTGGTTATTGCAGTTGTTGCTGTCACTCTGTGTAGCTGTTGGCTTGGCCATTTTGTCTTAGGCTCTAGTCGAATTACTTTCCTCTTTCAATATTTTATATTTAATTTAATTTAGTTTCTTTTGTTTTTGTTTTTGTTTTTTAAAAGCAGCTTGTAAAATTTGCACTTGTTGTTGCAATTAATTGTGAACACAGTTACATAGATTTCAGCAAGAATTTCTATATCGTTTATTAAGTAGCTGTAGCTGTAGGTGGATTTGGATTGCTTACGTTTCGCCTTAATCCCAATTCCAAATTATCAACTCTGTCAAAGGAAAATAGAAAGAAATTGTTCAGAAATTACGATAAATATATAAAAAAAAATGTCAAGAATATTTATATGAAATCTTAAATAAATATATTTAAATAAAAATTAATTTAAATAAAAATTTTGCAAAAATATTAAATAAATAATTAATAAAAATTAATAAAAAATATTAATAAAAACATAAATTTCACAAAGGCACTTTCAAAAAGGCTGTCTGCAACTCCTGGCTTCACTTTATTCAAATAAACAAAAGCTTTCCGATGTTAATGAGCTTTTTAAACATTGTATTAAACAAAAGCTAGAGGACTAAGCCTGGCTAAAAAGTTTCTAGAACTTTACGTTAAGCTTCAATGACCGCAGATGCAGTTTAATCTAAGATTCAGTTTATAACTTTAATGAAAGTTTTATTAATTTTTTTTTTTGCTTTTTCATGCGCTTGGAGATCCAAGCAAAAGCTAATTTGACGTGTTCTTTTCTAAATTCCCATTTTTCCCTTTTCTTGTTTACGCTTTTTTGTTTTCTCTTTTCTAAATTCCCTTTTCCAGTTTAAAATTCATTGATTGATTGATTTGTTTTTAAAATTCAAATTATTTTTTTGTTTTTGTATAAGCTTAAGTTATACAAGTAATTTATTATGGTATTATATCAACTTTAATAATCAATAATAAAATAAAAAGTTGTGCAAACAGAATTGAATGCAGTTTTCACTTCCCGTTAAGCATTTTACTGGCTTAAAGTAGCTTTAACTTTAAGACTTTCATAACTTTTAAACAAATTAAAACTAAGTTTGCGCTTCTCTAAAAGTTTACTTTCCATTTTAAGACATTTTGATTAATTGGAAAACGTTTGTCATAACTTTAAATTGCAAAAGTGCAGAACTTGCGGCGATTTTATTGCGTCGCGTGTTGCGTGAGTTGCACTTACGAGCCACGCCTGCAGCTTATGTCTTGGGGCTTCAGATAAAACGCGTTTCACGAACCATAAAACAATTCGCTCAGGCACAATATAAAGGTGCCAAAAGTTGTTGTTCTTTTATTGTTGTTTCTGGTTTGTTTGCAAACAATTCGATTTTGTTGCTACTGTCACACGAGCGAGAACAACAACAACAAGAAGACATTTCGTTTGCAAATTCGCGCACAAACTGTTTCAGCGAATTGGCAAACAATTTCGCAACATTTTCCGCAAACGAAGAAAATCATTTCGACAAACGCCTTCAACTTGACCCCATATAAATAGCTGAGAGAGCTAAACTAGCGTAATATTTAATTTAATCTCTCTTTTACTCTCGCACTCAACAGCTGATTTCTAAGTTGAATTTCGAAATTATGAATTTCGATTTGCTTGAATTCTATTTACGAATCTTCTAAGTTGTTTATGTTTTTCGCATTTGGCACTCAAACTGCCTGTCTGCAGTTATTTATAGAGCGCTATTGAGGCTTTCAGATGACTAGCATTTATTTGGGACAATTTTAGATCAGTTTTGTGAATAGCGTGAAAAGTTTTCAAATTGAAATTTGGTTTTTTACTAAAATATTGATTAGAATTCTTGTGTGAAAAAACAATATTTATTTTAGTTTATTCACATTTTTTAGTTGTTTTAATTGTTTTTTTTTTTAATACAGATTTAGCTAGAAGGTTTGACTGTTCAAAAAATTTTTTTCTTCAATTTCCATAGCTATACAAGCTTTCTGAAAGTAAGCTTTAAAGACTCAGAGTTAGAGTTCATCTCGCAGACCCAGCTTCCAACTGCTTTGCGCTCAATATAAATCGTTATTGATATCGATCTTCACTTAGTATCAAGACACTAGAAAACTTCAAGTTACAATTTTCTATAATATTGAGCTTATATAGAGACTTTAATGTATTGCTAGATAATGCTTCAATTGAATTTTTTCATATATGGAAAATAAAACTGACTGTATTTTATAAGTAAACTTAAAAACTTAAAAACTTGCAACATAGTAGTCTGCTTTATGATAATCATATGGACATATATAAACTAAACATGTGAATGAACATTATATTAGATTTACTTTTATAAGACATACCTCTTAAACTCCTCACACTGTACGTTTGCGTACTGACTGAAGTTTTTCCAAGAAGAAATCAAAAACTTTTTTAAACTGGAAAATCAGTTTGCTTTCGTTTTGAATAGTTAACCTTGAAATTTCAATTGTGTTTTGTTGTTGTTGTTTTTATTATAATAATATTGTTGATTGTTATTGTTGTTGTTATTGTTATTGTTATTGTTGCTGTTGTCACTAGCACTGCCGCCAATTAATTCACCATAATTGCACAAATCTTCAGTTATATTCAATTCGCTTAGAGTGCGTTTGGGCTGGGCCAAGTGTTTATACAGCGTGGCGGTTCTATTGAAAATTCTTAGACGCGGATCGCGTGGTATATAATGTAGAAACACTTTATTCGACTTGCTGCTGTTGTTGTAAGTGCGCGGATTGTTATTGTTGCTATTATCAAAAGTTGTTGTTGTTGTTGAGGAGGAGTTTTTGTTGTTGCTGCTGCTGCTGCTGCTGCTGTTGGCCTTTTGTTTTTTAGTCGAGCTACTAAAGGCTGTTGTTGTTGTCACGACTGCTGTTGTTGTAATTGTTGTTATTGTTGTCTTTTTTGTGGCACGATAAAGCGGCTTTAACCGAAAGACATTCATTAAGAACGTTAACGTTATTAACACTGACCAACAGGAAAACACAAATTGAGCAAATTTTGGCCGCAAATCAAATTGGCTGCCTCTCTGTCTATAGTTGCTGTTGCTATTGTTGTTGTTGTTGTTGTTGCAGTTGTAGCTGCGCGTAAACGTTTTTAGCCCGGACACGTACATGCGGCACTTCGATATGGTACAAAACGAATGCACAAATCAACAAAATAAAGGAACGAACGAAACTAACGAAAAAATCAAAATAAATTATAGATAAAGATTGGGCAATACGATACGATTGGACAACGTAACGGTATTCGGTTTTGTTGTATTGTTTAACGGTAACTCAACGCGTGTCAAGTGCGCGGCGCATTGTGCGGCTTTTTCGCGAACATATTTCGTTTTAGGACACTTCTCACTGCTTGGGCTGCTTCAAATGTGGCGCACGCGGCGTATGATTAATGCGTTTGCTTGTTTCCAGCTCAATCACAAAAGCTTCCACCACTGTTGTTATTGTTGTTGACGGCTGATGATGATTTATGTTTGTTATTGTACTCGATTAGCAGCTGAGCTGATGCCACCAACGCTGCTGCTGCAATAACTGTGAGGGAGAGGCAGAGAGAATAGAAGAGAAAAATTAGCTTGGGTTTTGTTTATAATGATTGCAAATTGACAGGCGCCAAGCGCATTGTATATCTGCCATATATCATATATAGATATATCATATATCACATCATTTAGCATTAAATAAGATATCTTTTTGACACAAAAGACGCCTCAGCTGACACAGTACTAAAAATAAATCACAACAGCTTGCAAATTGTCTAACAATGCGGGTTTTAATTCTCGCAGGCCATTGAGAAATATTTCCGTCCAGCTATAGATCACTATGGTTGCAACATGCGAAGCGCGCATACGCCCCTTGCACATAAAAGCCAGAATAACAATGGTCACACGGCTATGTGGGCGTGTGTACACTGAGCGAATACATATATATGCTTCGTAGCTTGCCTTAAGCTTTTATGAAAAGTTCATATGTTACACAAAAATGTGTGTCTAGTTTAGCATAACTAAAGCTAGAGTAGAATTCTACATTTAATCTTATAAGTGCATATAAAAAAGCTTTATAATAGTAATAAGCTTTGCTAACTATGACAGAATATACACTTTGATTAATTATTTGCTTCGTTACAAAACAGTTTTGAAAGCACATTAAAAAGCTTTCGCATACATAAAAGCTTTGTTTAACTTAACATGTTAAATGTAACTGTCTAAAAGCTAATAAGAAAATGAGCTTTAATTGATGTGCATCTCAACACAAAACAGCTTTGGAAGCACATTAGCTTCTTCAATAAAATCAATTATAAAAAATGCTTTTATAATCATACTCTAAAAACAGATAAACTTTATAATTGACCTACTTTATTATTGTTTTATTTTTAGTCATAAAATTTCAAATTTAAGCAGCTTTTATGTATATAGCTGAATTCGGGTTTATGGCAGAAACAAAGCTAATAAGACACTTAAAATAATTAAACGTAACATAAGAACACTAACAATGTTTTTGCTATGAGCTCAAATGTGCAGTTATCAATAAGAGAGAGAGAGAGAGAGAGAGGAAGAGTGTTGTTGAGTGTTTGAATAAACGCCGCCTGCGCTGGCCGCTGCCAAGTTCAATGCTCGATAGGCGCTGCATTTAATTATATACTGAAAATAAAAGTATATTCAAGCACATATACAAATATGTTAGTATATACATATATATATATATATATGCATATGTGTAGACAGTGTAAACAACGTGCGACGCATGTCTATTTAATGAGCGTTGAGAGCTTAGGCTATATGGTTAATGCTCAACTCTCAATAAACTATCCACTAAACTGTTGCTTATCAAATGTCAATTTGCGTCTTGACGAGTTGATAACACACTAACTACACACACATAGTAAAAAGAATGTTAAGATTATTATCTTTATAATACAATTTGGCAACGGTGCTTACTATATGCAACTGATGATAAGAGGGATTACGTTTCATTTCGATTACAATGCCCCAGACACGAGAGCTCAGAATGTTTTGTAAGCAACAATAACTTAATGACTTTCACTATATAAAAAGTTAAATAATCAATTGGCGTTTCTTATCGTGCAACAAGCACAAGTTTTATTTCTATATTTAAGGAAGCGCGAAATACAAAGTTGAATAAGTTGTTCAAAGGAGATTTTTATATATATAACTCTATTTTACTTGAACTTTAATTATATATTTTTCCTGTACTGTTCTAATTAATTACTTCAGTCACAAATAATTGTAAGAATTTTATATTTTGAATTCAATTTATTATTTTTTGTAAGAATTCACAATTTAAGGAAAATTATTAGACGAATTTAAACAACATTCTATGAAGTGTAAAGTTTTCGGATCTTTTAAAAGAAACATGTTTCAAAAATCATACTAAATTATAGTTACTTCACAATCCACAGTGACATACGATTTTGTATGATTTCGTGCATAAATGTATGTAATTAGGCAAAAAAAAATCATATGCAATCAACACCACAAACAAAAAACTATGGAGTCGGTTTAAAAAAGCAGATGGCGGGGTTCAGGGTATCTCCTAGTCGGACACTCCTGCCTAGATGTTTTTTTGTATGTTGACCCTTGCCACATATATGTTATTTTCTTATTCACAACTTTGTTACACATATATAATAAAATTTCTTAATCACAATTAAGCTTTCAGCACATTCTTCGCGTAAACCAAATAAATTAATTAATCTTAAACGAAACTCACTTTTAACTCAACAAGAACTAATTTCGGCAACTAAATTACTTTAAAAAAAAACAGTTATCTTAAGTAGGCATCACGTGTAAGCCGAAAACCACGTTCAATGCCATTTCGAAGCCTTCGCTGCGCCTGTTCATATGCAACACTTTATTTAGTTAATTTCACTTTTCAATTCTTTATAGAATTTATATTTAAAACGAAATAAACTGAGCATGTTGAGCGACGAAATGCAATGAAACTCCTTAAAGCACATGTTTAACGAACGACAATTTGAAATCACGCATCGCGACGTTTGTAAGTTTCTTCTAGTTAGTTTGCTAGTTATTGGATTAGTCCGACTAAAACGGCCAACAAACAGTTCAGTGGCTCGTCGCCTGGCAGACTAATAAATGAGCTCAAAAAGATTCGGTGATGAAAGCCTCGTGCAGAAAGACGAAACAAATCGGGAAAAGAACAGAAAACAGAATGAAATAAAAACCGAGACGAAGGCGACGGCGAGGGCGACGGCGGCGGCGGCGGGACGATGTCGAGTCTGTAATCGCGGCAATCGTTTTTGCTTTAATCTAATAAATTTCTTATCAGCAAGCGTCGGGCATACGAGTACTACGAATGCTACACATACTCAAGTCTATTTATACATATATGTTTATATATATTTATATATGTATGTAATTATTTTATATACATATATATTTGTGCAGTTATCGCACTACCTGCCCCACACGCGGCCACTTGACATCCCCGTCGCGATAGCTGTCAAGTAGTCAGTCTTTTGTGATGGGTTTCTCTTTTATTTGCAAATGCCCTAGGCATTGGAGCTAAGCGGGGTATATCGATTTAACCAGGAAATAATAAAGAATTCATTTCTGAATATGGCATAACAACATTCCAGTTTGCCTTCATTTTTGACTTTGACAATTTTCTAGTCTGGCATATCCTTGCCTTAGGGTATCTTCTAGTCGTGCATGCGACAAGGGGCATTTTTTACATGTTTCATTTCATTGCTTTGCTCATTTCGGTTGCCCACTGTCGTGCGTAAATTATAATACTCACATATATATGCACATGCATATATTTATTTACAAAATAGACTTAAGTATTACTTAAATCAAATATAGTATATATACTTTGCTCTACTGCTATTGTTGTGGGATAGTTCTTCATCAAACCTTGTTTACTAGCATCTGCATTTGCTAAATAACATATAGTTATTTAAAGTTGATAATTAAAAGGCAACATTTGCATAGTTGGAACTGTGCTAGCACTCTCAAATGGGAGTTTAGGGTATATTGGTTGTGTGCTAAAGTATGTAACAGGCAGAATATGGGCGTGATAAGCTTCATATTTCTGTGTGTTCTTTGTTATCAATGAATAAAGGAAACTCAGAATTATTGGCATATCAGCTCTTTGCAGGTTTCAGGGTATATCCTAGTCGTGCACTCTCAACTATTACTTGTTTCTTAAAGCAACAATGAACTTAACAAGTTTTCAGCTGAATTTTGCTTTCAATGTAAAGTCAAATATGTTAATTAAACACGTGTCTGATTGTTGAAATCTAGTAATATATATGAATATTCGATTCGATTCGATTCAATTCAATTTTACTAAAATTACTAACAACTATCTGAATACCACTTGTAATTCTCAACTGGTTTGAGGCTGGCTAAAATATCCGACTGTAGAATTTAATGAGCTTTTAATTAAAAAAAGGCTTAAGCTAATCTAAGCAGAATGAGAGCAACAACTAGACACATGCAGTAAAATTATGCTCAGAGACTCTGATTAGTTTTATGAATTAGCTGTGCTAAACCAAGTTTGCCTGATAAGTGTAAGAATTTAATGCCTTAATTACCAGAGCTAATCGGGCTGTATAATTCCACTTATTAAAGTGAGTTGGTATTCGTGTGTGTGCGTTTTTGATACCAATTCAAAGTGGTTTGATGCTGACCTACGCCAGTTTTATTTGGGTTTTCTCATGTCTAATTGTGACGGAAAAATGTTTTATGATATCAAAGCACAAAACTAGACCAATCAGAGATTTACAATCAATCCAATCAGAGATTTACATAACGGATCTCAAATTCTCATGTCATCTTTCATTCCCAATAAAGATCAATTGTTATTATGCAGAAACAGAAATAGAATCGAATACAATTCAATTGTTTGTGCTCGACAATTTGAAACTAATTAAATCAATTGTTAGCTGACTCATATCTTATTTGATTTGCAATCTGAAAACTCTTGAATCTTAATTTTCTTTACTTAGAATCTATACCGAAGTTGCTATAGTAGAGAATTAAGTGTATTTCGATATCATGTTTAATCGTTAGGAAAGTATTCAGCAGAGGCTTTATATATATCATATAATATATATATAGGAGCTATATTCTATATCTACTCTGAGTTTCAGTTGTATAAACATGGACATTAAGTCAAAATAGGACGGAAAGAAATTAGAACAGTTTAAAGAGATAGAGAAATCATATGCTGTTTTATCAATACATAAAAATAAATATAAAACACAATTTTAAACTCAAAGTAAGAAGGAAAATGACACCAAAGACAAAGTCTGAAAGTTTCCCAAATATTCTGCCTTTCAGTAAACAGGAGAGCTCAACTTCCCTGGCTTAAGAACAATATAAATAATACATAAAAAATGAAACGTAAAGCAATTAATTTACATACGCCCCGAAACCTCAATGCCCGCCTATCAAACCGTGTAAATAATCCAGTTGAACAGCTGTCAGTTGGCTTTGCACGCCTCAAGTGTTATGAATGGATTCACTGGCCAAAGGCTAAGATTGGGCTTT